ATAGTTGTACACCCCGGCATTTGTAACGAATGTCGTTTTTGCTTGGTCATCGGGGTGCATGAAGATCTGATGATACCCCGAGAATGCGTCCATGAAACTAAGCAGGGCGTGGCCACTTGTCGAGTCGACTAGCTGATCGATCCTCGGCAAGGGATAGAAGTCCTTCAGACAAGCCCTATTTAAGTCCGTGAAGTCAACGCATATTCTCCAGGTGTCATTTGCCTTATGAACCATCACCACATAGGCCAGCCATTCCGCATACTAGCAGGGATCGATGAAGCGTGCATCCAAAAGTTTTTTGACTTCGACTGCGATGTCTCGGTTCTTATTAGCGGAGTAATTCTGTTTCTTTTGCTTAACAGGTCGACAAGTGGGGTCGACGTTCAACTTGTGGGTGATGAGGTTCGGATTGATCTCAGGCATGTCTGCTGCTGAGAAAGCGAACACATCTCTGTTGTCCCGAAAGAGTTGGATAAGTTCAACACGGATATTGGGGTGAAGTCCGAGCCCGATGCTGACACACTTTTCAGGGTCTCCTTTAGTCAACTCGATTGACTCAGTTTGCTAGTCAAGATCCATTGCCTTGGAACTAGACTCTTCGTAATCAGGCCTGCTGTTGATATCAGCAGGCATCCCAGACCTCGGCTGGGCTTCCAAATCTTTCGGTTCGGATGAGGAACCAACCTTTCCTCCCCCCTTTTTCTTTTCTTGGGCAGGGGTAACCTGAGCCGCAGTACTTAAGCCTTTCTGCTTCTTTGTGCTTCGGTCCTTTTCTTTTTCTCTTTCCTCCTCATCTTGGTCGTCGCGGCGAATTTTGGATGGCTTGAGGTAATTGCATCTGCAGGCTTCTTTCTGGTTGCCTTGAATTCTTTCGGAGTGGCCCTCATCTGAAACATATATCATCATTTGATGATAGGTGGAGTCCACTCCTTGAATCTCGTGAATTATGGGTCTCCCCATGATCACATTGTACACAAATGGAACATCCACGACCAGAAACCATGCGACTTGTCCTTTTTCCTAGGGAAATCCAATTGCTGCCGAGAGTCTTGCTCGGCCTTTTTCTCCTCGCGTCGATCCGCGAGGTATTTTTTCATATAACCCTTTCGGACCATATCCTCGATCTGATCTCTCAGTTGGATAGTCCTCGGTGTGGTGTCCTGGAGACTCGTGGAACTCACACCATCGGTTCTTATTTTTTTGCCGATGCCACGATGGCAGTGGCCTCAGCTTCTTCCACTTCTGTTCGTCCTTTGTTATGCTATAAATTTTAGCACGCGGAAGAGCGAGAGGAGTGTAAGATTCGTATTTCCCTACGAATGGGGTTTTTTCATTTTTCGGCTCAGTAGTCGAGGGTGGTTCTAAGGCTTTCGCCTTCCCTTTCCTTTGGCTCTAGCCTTCAGACGGTTGTCCTTTTGTCTTACCAGTCCCAGTGTGTGCTTGGGACTTGGTTTTGTTCCACTCTTCGGCTCGGATGTACTTATCCGAAGCTTCCAGAGCTTCCTCCAAGGTCTACGAGGTGTGCCTGACCATGAAGTCAAGGAACTTTCCAGCTTGTAGCCCATTTCGCAATGCGAAAACGGCTAGCCCTTGGTCTAGACTTGTAATTCTGGACAACTCATTGCTGAAGCGAGTCAGATAGACTCGGAGGCTTTCGTCCTCCCCTTGCTGCAGGCTCATCAGCTCTGTAGTTGTCTTCTCTTGGAGATTTTCCGTAGAAAACTTGCTCTTAAACTTGTTGGAAAGGTCTTTCCAACCGGTTATAGAGCCTTCCTTTGCTCCCTTGGTGATCCATGCTTGTGCAACACCCTTGAGAGTGGTCGGGAAATACTTGCACCAGGTCGCTTCGGACTTGGGTTCAGATATATGTGCCCCTCGTAGGAGGCGATGTGGTCCTTCGGGTCCAAAGTTCCATCATATGTTATGTGTGACGGTATTTTCACTGTCAGCACATGCTCTTCCAAAATCCAGCTTTAGAAGAGTTAATCGGTGAGTACCATCACGACTTTCCCCTTGTACCCAGTCGACGGGACCTCACTTCTCAGAGAGGTAGAAGTGGTTTTTGTCCTCGACTGGGACGGTGCGGGGTACGACGCAGTCCCTTCGGGGTAAGTGAGGCGACTGTGCATGCTCATCTCTCTTGAGCCGATACGTTCGTGAACGTTTCGGCGAGCAGGTTCCTGCCACGCAGAGGTGGTGTTACTACTTTTGAAGCTTCAGGTTTCGGATTCCTCGAAGAACTGGGGTTTCTCTTTCTTTCCCCCTTCAGTTCTCCAAGTATCCTCTTCCCATTTCTCTCTGAGCTCCCTGGAAAATGGAGCTCGCCCGCCATCCTCTTGGTCGGTCCTCCTTCTAAAGTTTCTCGGCTATTGAGGGGTGTTGGCATGGACTGAGTGGCTGGGAGGTGGTGGAAAATTGCCTGCTTGGGTCTTCATGAGGTCCATAAAGACCGCGAAGGCTTTCGCCACCTCCTCTAAAGTGGGACCCGTCTAAGGTGTGCGTTCTCTAGGTTGAGATCGTGAGTGTAAGCTAAAAGTGGGACTCTTAGCATTTGACTGGCTAGGCCGTCGAGAGCCTAACGGCTATGCAGTTTGATGAGATGGTGACCTCTCGGATGCGGCTTTCTCAGATGAGGCCGCCTCCGAAGAAGATGATGAAGAAGAAGCCTTCTTCGAGGAAGAAGGGTTAGCCTTCTTCGCGCTTTTCCCGCTCTTAGTCATGTTACTAAGATGGTTGATTTTTGGTTGTTTTTCGAATGTCTTCCCCACAGACGGCGCCAAAGTGTTTCGGGTGAAAACAATAGGTCCTTCGTTTGGACCTTTCTTGTGGGCTGAAGACTGGACTCGGCCCAAGTGATAACTGGGACAAGGGTTTCCTACATAGCAAACACACGTAAACTGGCATCGAGGGTTATGCCGAGGAAAGCACCTCCGATGCCGAAGTCAGTACAGTGTTTTTAAAGAGAGAAACTTATGCAAGAGTATTAATTGCTTGAGGCTTGAAGTGAATGAATGTAGAGAGAGGAGAGTGAAGGCTTTTATACCTTGTTCAATAGATAAATGGGCCTTGAGGTCAAAGGGTTTGCCATGTTGACTAGGCTCATGACTTGACATGTATTTGGAGAGTTGAACATTGCTTAGGGCTTTGTAATTGAATTATTTGTGGACCAGCCCAATTGGAGTAAATTGGACCAAAACAAGTTTAACTTTATTTTATTATGGTGGAAATGAAACTCTTCATTTTATTACTTAAACTTGCAAGTTACGGAATGCATAATGACTTTTTTTTTTTTTAAAGGAATGAATAAGGATTTTAACATTATATAATATATTTATTTTAATTTTTATATTAAAAAGGGAATAAAAAAAAAGGAAAGATTAAGAGATGTGACATGTGATATATGAGTGATTCGGGATGATATGTGCCATAAGAATGATTTATGGTTTGTGTTTTTAGATACTAAGTATAGATGAGAGAGTTTGAAAAGAAAGGTAATTATAAGAAAAAGATAGACAAAGTAAGAGAGATTCCAAGTATGTAAGTTGATGTTAGAAAATGGTAAAAAATGTAGATGTGCTAAAAACATTAATTGTATAAACCAAACAAAATTAAGAATTGTAAGAAAAAACATTGTAAATGGATGTAGCACTATGATATAGTAAAAACAACCAACAATATTAAATATAAACAAAAATTAAATTAAATTTTCTTACAACCGTTGTCCAGAACATTACTTTAGAATGGATCTAGTATAAATATGTGGATATGGGATCAAATACAACAAGGGAACTCTTTAGGAGTGAGAATTTCATTACCCTTCCCCTACTACTTCTAAAGAGCCTTGCACGTTGAATCGAATCGGGTTGACCTTGTTAAGGTTTCAACTCAATAGTGCCTTCTTACCTTAAATGAAATAATACTGATAATGATAATGATAATGATATTGAAAACAGTATTAGTAGTAGTAGTAATTTGATTTTCAACAGAACTTTTAACACCATCTTACTTTTATAGGTGAATTGGGTCAAGGGGACGGAAACTAAGATATGATCACATGGTTGTAGTGATGACGGTTTTACACAAACGTTCCTCCAAATTCAAACATGTATGGTTGTAGGTGAGTAGCTTAATTAAAAATATCAAAAACAGAATTCGAAGACGTCAAACAAAAATCAAATATCCTGGAGATTCAATTGTTAAACTTTACTACAAATATATGATGGCTGCAAATTGCAAAGCTTTCTGGCCCACCAATGCTAATTGCTATGTACATTGAATGTGTTTACTTCCGTCCCAAATTTCGCTATATCCGATTCACAATATGGCAACATCAACATGTCAGCCGCCCAGCCATCCAGGACCAACTAAATTCCAGAGCCATATGAATTTGATATAAATATTAATCTTATTATGTCGAATGCTATTTTGAAAATGATATAAATATTAATCTGATTATGTCGAATGCTATTTTGAAAATAATTCCTCCATTGTTTAATAATTGCAATAATTCGATTATTACGTTTGCTTATACATAAATCGGAATATTTAATACCAGTAGGAGAATTATTAATTATCTGTAAACATTATTATAAAGCTTGGTAGTTTAAAAATTAATAAAATAACATTTCAAAAATAATGCAATAAGTCAAACTGTAATAAATATATATAAAAGAGTCAAAGGAAGGAAGTGCATACTTCATGCATGAGTAAGACATAAATGTAAGCACCGACAAAAAGAAAGAAATGAATAAATAAAAGAACAGGTTTTCAACTCTGTATTGAAGATTTGAAGGTAAACAGTTTTTTGTTTTTGTTTAGTATTACTATTTATTTATTTATTTGGAATTTAGGTAAAAAAAAATGTCTACGTTTGCTTATGTGTATGCATATGTCAAAGCTCTAAAGCTTACCCTTTAAAGATTAAATAAATATAAAAAAAATAACAGTAGTTAGGTTTATATGTCATGTGTCTAAATTCATATTCAATGGACTCACAGTAGTATAAAAATCTTGCACGTAACAAGTAAAATTCAAATCAGCCTCACAATTCACAAACTAACCATCTTTCATGCAAAAGCTAGGCATGGCTTTGAAAAACATCCACCATCACCATAATCAGCTACATTTTGTGATGTTTCCATTAATGGCACCAGGCCACATGATCCCAATGATAGACATGGCTAAGTTGATAGCAAAGCACGGTGTTGCAGTCACTATAGTCACTACTCCAGTGAATGCCACCCGCTTCAAATCAACCATAAACCGTGCTATTGAAAGCGGGTTGAATATTCGACTATCTCAGCTCGAGTTCCCTTGGCAAGAGGCTGGATTACCAGAAGGATGTGAAAATGTGGATATGCTTCCTTCGCTAGGCTATGCAATAAATTTTATTAAAGCTGCTGCTAAGTTACAAGAACCTATGGAAAAGTTGCTTAAGGAGTTGCAACCCAAACCAAGTTGCCTAATTTCTGATTACGGGTTCACTTGGACGACTGAAGTTGCTAGAAAATTCAACATCCCAAGGATAGTATTTAATGGGATGTCTTGCTGCTCTCTCCTAAGCTTGCACAATTTAATTGCCTACAACGCGATTGAAAATGTAAAGTCAGACACTGAACCCATTCAAGTGCCTGGTTTGCCAGATAGAATTGAGCTCACCAGAACTCAGGTGCCGAATGCAGTACACCAAGCGGGGGATCCTTTAAGGGTGGAAATGCGCGAGGCGGAGAGGACAGCGTTTGGGGTGGTAGTGAATTCTTTTGAGGAGCTAGAATCAGAGTACTTGAAGAGGTGTAAGGAGGCAAAGGGGAAGAATACTATATGGTGTGTTGGGCCTGTTTCACTCTGCAATCAGGATGAGTTGGATAAAGGAGAAAGAGGTAACAAAGCTGCACTTACCGTTGAAAAATGCATGAAATGGTTAGATTTACATAAGCCTAGGTCAGTGATATATGCTTGTCTTGGAAGCCTCTGTAACGTTGTTGCATCACAAGTGATGCAGCTTGCTTTCGGGTTAGAAGCATCAAATAAGCCTTTCATCTTGGCTATGAGAGAAGGGTATAACCTAAAAGAGGTGGAAAGATTGATAGAAGAAGATGGTTTCCGGAAAAGGGTTGAAGGGAGAGGATTAGTTATACTGGGTTGGGCACCACAAGTGCTTATACTATCTCATCCTTCAGTAGGCGGATTCTTGACGCATTGTGGTTGGAATTCTACTCTTGAAGGCATATCTACTGGTTTGCCGATGGTTACTTGTCCTCTGTTTTCCGAGCAATTTCTGAATGAGAAATTTGTGGTGGAAGTTTTGAGGGTTGGTGCAAGTGCCAGGGTAGAAAACCCGACGATGAACCCAGGTGAAGAGGTAAGGGGAATCTCTCTAGATAAAGAGCACGTCAAGCACGCTATAGATTTAGTGATGGATGATGGAAAGGAAGGTAAAGAGATGCGAGAGAGAGCTGCGAGGCTTGCAGAAAGTGCTAAGAAAGCAGTGGAAAAGGGCGGATCTTCTGAAAGAAGTTTGACGTTAATGATCCAAGATGTCATCCAAGAGATAGAGAAAGATAGAGAGGAAGTTGATAAAAGGGTGATTTAACAGAAAATCACCTCTGCTGGTAGTTTTGTTTTTATATTGCGGTTGGTTCATAGTACTAACCTTAAGTCTTGGTATAACCTGTTTTCTTCTTGTTGGATTGCTGTATTCAGTTAAACATCAGACATAATTACATATTTACATGCATCAACCTATATGTCTGAAATTAAGCAGTCAATTTGTTAAGATGTAACTAATAGCTCAAACAGTAAGTAGCCAATATAGAGGGGAGAAAACACTATAAGGTGACAAATTTGGGACTGCAAATTATGTTAACTTCCAAGAGTAGTACTCAAAAACCAAACACGTTTTTAGCAACAATATATTAAGAATGCAAGGTGAGCCTAATAGATGCAGATCTTATCACATAAGGTAATCGATATTATCAACTAGATGCACATCTTTACACATAATGTTGGTATATTATCAACTAAAATCATTGACACTTTAGATTATATCCCTCTTGTTTACTCCTTTAATCAATTTATAAAGGACCAATAATATCTGTAATAGTACTTTAAAGCCATTTACAAACTGTGAATCTTAAAGCGAAGATAAAGATCAAAGTTAAGTTAGAAAGGAGTTGAGGAATGTTAAGACTGGTTATGTATTTTAAATCAAGATTTGATTGTTTTAACCTTAAATTTTTATCATGATGGCTATGTATCGTTAACAAAACCCCTGTTTCATAATTATTAAGCAGATTCGGGCAGGTAAAATGCATGCAATTTGCAACACAATACTCTAGCATTGTAGAGATGCTGGTCTAGTCAAAAGCCCTTGGAAATTGGATTCAAAATTGTTACTATATCATTAAAAATTAGATATTACTGTATTTTAAAGACTGTCCATCAAACATGACAAATAACTAATCAACAAATGAAGCAAATGTCATGCGTGCCTTATAATAAAATTTAAAAAATTAATCAAGTAAAGCTTATAGACGGCAAGTAAAAGGTTTCAGCACAATTGGTGAAGTATATTGCAAAGGGTCTTACACTCTTACCATTGATCATTTCGGGCCACAACGACCCACAATGTCCAGCAATGCGGCAAGACAATGTAGGCCGAGAACAATATTAGTATGTTGTCCACTACGTTTAGATAAGGCATCCATCAGCTTTTGTATGTGCATAAAGGCTTCACCATGTCCTTCAGGAGCACTGCGCACCTGTTAATACAACAGACTGCGTAATTGTCATTAAACTTCGAAATGTCAGTAAAGTCACAAAAGCTGCCCATCAGCACTTGAATTGTCAAAAAGGAAGAATGTTGTCAACTAAATATATTAACAACAGAAAGGAGCGAAAAAGTAGGATCATATTGTAATGGAGAATATGTGTACACTGTACAGCAATGAATTGCACTAATACAACAGACAGCAAATTTTAACGTTTTAATTGCTATTACTGTACAAGTGTGAAGGGCACTGTTTGTGATAACTCAACTCTCAATAGATTCATATGAACATAAAGAAAGCAGAGATTACACCCCAAGCCATAATCTCTGCCTATAACCAAAAAATGTACACATGGTCATTTACAAAATTACGTGTGTCCACCTTCCTCTGTAGTTACTATGCGACCAAATTCTGTACATTTTGCTCACTATATGAGAACAGGCAACAATTTAACTGAGCATGACTACAGACACGAGTTACTTTTCCTCCAAAGTTGAAGTGCAGCAAGATGAGCTTCACCAACAAAAGCGGTACAAACATCCCTTGTGAGCGACTTTGTAAAGGTGCTTGATTTATAAGAAGGTCCAAAACCTTGCAAGCCTATCCCAATATTTCTTCGATATGTAGATACTATAACAACATTTTCAAGGGCCTTTTCGATTTAACTCTGCCTGGTCAAGTCGAGCTGATCTCCAAGATAGTGAATAGCTAGATTTAAGCAAGATTCCCAATGATGAGGAACATGCTGCTCGGACAATAGCATCAGTTGAGTGACTCATTTTGCTCACCAGCATGTCAAATACCTGCACAGTACTATATCTTAGGATACTGTCTAAATCATGCAAGGGGTCATAAATTAAATTTCTAATAATAATAGCAAACTAGTTGTCTGGATGATGTCTTCTGGACACACCATGCAGTGGTCATTAGGGTTGCACAGTGTTTTAGGATTTTAGCCCTTTTAGGTTTACCCAAAAGCATCATGTTCTTTGAGCTCACGGATTTCAGAAAAGAATAACATATGCTGAACAAAATTATATGACATAGATTTGAAAATAACATGAAAATAAACTAAAATAACATACATTTGAAAATAACATGGCTATGAACAAAATAACATAGGTTTGAAGATATTAGTGAAAGAAAAATTGCATTTTTCATATCATCATGATACTATTTTTACTCTCTATTCTTTTTTACTTAACCTGTTTCATTTATCACGCTTGCTACTACATTAATCTAACCCTACCAATATCTTACATTTCTAATAAGTAAATATTATCACTAATAGATATTAGGATAGGATTTATTGAGATGATTTGAACAAGATCTCACATGACGACTATGTTATTCTTTACATATATATCACAAAAGACGCTCAAAAGTGTGTAAGGACAAGTAAAAAAGACGGATAAAGTATTAATTGTCATGCTACATTTTTATCATAATATGTTTTAAATTCAAAATTATGTAAAATAGTCCATTTTCATAATTTATTTGTGTAATTTCATGTTCTAGTATGCTAAGATTTTGGGACCATGATGAACATGCTGCTTAGGAGAGCAATCTAATACACCCCCGTCTTCAAATTATTGTCCTCTAAGGTAGGGGCACATTATCAAGACTAGATGGTAGGTATTAGAAAATTTAGAATAAAAGAAAATATTAATAGAGAAAGATTAAATGTAGGGCCTCACATCACATAAAATAAGAATAAAGAGAGCGACACTGGGATAGTTAGAGGTAGGGCCCACATCACATGGGTTCAATGACTTAGGTTAACAGAATTTCATAGGACAATTACTTGAGAAAAGAGGGAGTAATAGGCTAGGTAGCATTCAGTCCTCAGCAAGGGATGACATAATACTCTTAAAATAGAGAAATATATATATGTAAAAGATATCCCAAAACACTATCAAGATACTTAAGAATTTGTAGAGTATTATACTGGATGTACTCCCTAGCCTTTGCTACAGAAATAACCTGCGAGTAATACAGAGCCAAAATGCGTTGATCATCTGTCTGTGAGAGCATACTACTGCAGAAGTACATAGCATTAGCCTGAATTATAGGCCAAGGAGCATCAAAAGCCTGCATTATAAAGGGAATATCATCAGAACTCATATTCCTAGAAGCTCTACTATGGATCAGCAAAAAAATGATAATTAATTAGTCTACTTCGCAAGTCTAGGAGAAATTACAAGATAATGCATGTTGCCGCACAGAGCCCAATTCTCTCTCTCTCTCTCTCAAACAGTAACGCACACGATCACGCATACGTACATACCCACTCATGCACACACATGACCACTCACAATTTTCCTTTGTTTAACAGTTTCCCTTTTCCTATGTGTTTTAAGATCAAGAAACAAATAGCAAAAGGAACATAATATTAAAACAAAAGAATATTAGCAGCAATCTAATACAGCAAAATCTATCCCTCATACAAATGATTTTGGTTCAACATATGTATGAAGTAATTTCTGAGCATGATCCTACCTGAATAGCTGAAGCCAAGTAAGTTCCAATCCTAGAAGCCATATTCTGAGAAAAATGCTTGGTCAAGTCCCTGACAAAATCTTCATAGTCACTTCTGTAAAAAGATATGATTTGAGTGAAAACAAAGCAAAAAGACTCATTATCCAACTACAGCTCTTGGTAACAAAAGCATACCGATGATCAGAATGAAAATAATGGGTAGTCAGAAGAGTAGAAGTTCCTTGAACATCCATAAAAGACACAATTTGCTTGAGAGATTTCTGCCAAAAAAAAAAAACAAATGTTTTGATTCTTTCAAAAAAAAAAAATTAGCTTAGAGTGTAGATAGCACACACATGCAAGGGCAACTGAGAAGGGGATATTAGGATAATGGAGGAGCAGGAGAATAGATTAAGGGCAATTATGATGTACCCTGCAAGCCTCACGATTGCTGACATCATCATCATGAAGATGCAAAACCAGACGTGGTAAAACAGCATGTACCTGTGACCAACGACCAACATCATAAGTCATAAAAGTACAGCAATGCTAGCTTAGTACCTTAATTCAGCGAGCATAATGCAATTAAAAATAATTGGGACCAAGGAAAAAACAAAAGAAAAACCTGCTCTAAGAAAGCATCACGCTGTGTCCCAGCTGCAAAGTTGCTCAGATCCCCAAAAGCTGCAATAGACTTAGCTCTGATCTTTGTATTCATGCATATCTGTTTAAAGGTATTGACAATGTCCATGTGATTGGTACTCATGAGAGGCTATGTAAAGATAACTAAATTTCTGAATTACAAGTGCTTAGTTCAAACTACTACAAACCAAAAGGCATATGGCCAAATAATAAAATCAACATAAAAAAATAGAGGTCTTAACAAACTTGGTATATGTGGTATAAAATGGGGGTAAGAACCAATTTAGCATACTTCCTCCATTCTTTTTTATTTTATTTATCTTCCTACTTACTGTTCATATGAAGTGGTAAGTAGAAAGTGGTCCCTTTTATTTTCCTCTTTAGGTTGAAAGAAACTTTTTTATGAGGACAACATGGTAGGGTAAGAATTGACAAAAGTGAAAATTTTCTTTACTATAAAAGGAAAAAAAAAATTTACTACTAACTGTTTTTTAAAAATTTTCTTTACCATAAAAACGAAACTGTTTTTTACTACTAATTCTTTTAAAAATTTTATTTTACCACCGTCCGTCAAGGACCATCCGTTAAATCCAACAGAATTAAAAAATTCTTTGATTTCCATGACAAAAACATACTCTTTAGAGGTTTTTGAGGGTAATTTTGGCCCTAAAGGATCCGATAAGAGGTCAAAATTGACAACAATTATCAAATGCACCTCTTTTGCTAATTAAAAAATACCTCAATTTGCGTGACACATACAAAAGAAGGCAATTCTGATAATTCTTTGTCAATTTTAACCTCAAATCGAATCCTATAGGCCCAAATTGATCTCAAAACCTCTAAAGAGCATGTTTTTGGCAGGGAAATCAAATTTTTTTTTTTAATTCCGTTATATTTAACGTAAGGCTCTTGACGGACAAATGAAAAAAATAGTCATTGACGGCTACAAGTATGTGTTTGGCAAATATATACTACCTCTGTTTCATATTAATTACAAGAAAGGAATGTTTTAACTTATTTATTGAAAAATTCTAGTTAATTGATGTGTTTATTTTTCATTATGAGACTGAATTGACTTCCTATTAAAAACTTATTTAACTTTTGAGAACTATCTTAGTATTTTATTTTTTTTTAGCTTATTTTACAACAAAAGGATTTTGTGAATAAGTTATAAGAATGCTACCACCATTCCAAAAAGTCCTTTATCATTACCATTTATAACTAATACTTCCTCATTTTTTTATTTTTTTTTTTTTTTAATTGCACCATTTGGACTATTACATTATTCACACAATATCCTTTTACTACATTTTGTGATTTATCTTAAAGTAAAAATATAGTCATGTGGGATCAAGTTAGATTTGTATTAATATCAACTTTTCAAATATCAACTTTTTATTATTCTTATTTAATAATAATTAAAAAAATTAATCGTCAAAGTAATGCATCGACAAGCGTGAAATCACAAATGGTGCAATTAAAAAACGGAGGAAGTTTTTAAAACAAAAGTCACTAAATCATCTTTATTCAAATAGCAGCTTCTTCTAAATTCTTCTTTTCCAATCTAGATAAATTTAACCTCTATTTTAATCTTCCAAAGAACACTTACGATTCTAAACATTTCCACGCAAGTTAAATGCAATATTGCAACACTTTCCAAACATTTTCATTTAATCTTTCTTATTAATACTTCTTATATGTACGTACTACCCCCTCCGTCTTTTCTTTAATTACCCTAATTGGAATCTCAGGAGACTCTAATGCAAATGAAATCTACTCCCTTCGTGTCATATTGTTCTTCCTATGTAGTATCCTTTTGTGAGACAAGAATTGGTAGAAATAAGAACAATCAGAAATAGAGGGAGTAATATTTTAAGAATAAATATTTACATGAAAACATAATCATGTGGGATCTTATTAGATTTGTTTCGAGTTTAAGTTTTCAAATATATAACTTTTATATATTTGTGCAATACATAGCAAATATTTTTAATTAATAAATTGCATTGGGAACAGTTAGATTCATATATGACAATTTTTTTTAAAATTTATCTAAATCTAATTGAGTTTTTCCCAACCAAGCTAAGCTAGGTCAAGTGGAAAGGAGAGCACCTTCCTACTTTGAGGGTTTAATCTCTATTAAGGGTATTTGGAGGAGGGATCCACTTACCCCAACCCTCACTTCCAAAGTGTGTAGCCCGTTAACTCAAGTCGGGTTAACCCGTGAGGAATTGGTAAGGCCCTTCGTTTACCTATCAAAAATATTATTTTTTGGAGTTTTTCCATTTTATAGCATTCATTATTAGTATAGTATGCATATAAATTTCCAAATTCTTCATTATGAGTACTATACATGCCTTAAAAATTCATTTATGACACTTATTTTTTAAGAATTTCCGTGCATCGCATGACTACCAACCTAGCTTGCACATAAATTAATACAATTGGTGAGAGAGTGTCAATGGGGGTGAGTGGGTGTAAGAAAGGGAGGATAAAGTAAGAGAGACAATATGTAAAGAGGTTGTTGGGTGTAAACAAAAGGTGGAAAAGGTATGAGAGGGTAAGTGAAAAGGTGTAAATAGTGTGGGGTAAGAGGATAGGTAGGAAAAAAAGTTCATCAATATAACAAGAAAAAAGAGAGAAGTTTCAATTTCGGAAATCTTAAAGAACTTACAGCTCAAAAGAGCGGAGGTAGGATGGCGTTAAATGATTGTAAAAATTAAGTAAAAATATGCAAAATTGCTTTACTCTTATTGAGTGGGCAAAAACTTGGGTCTTAATTATTAAAGGAAAAAAAGGGGCAAATCTGAGGATTTTAGCTCAAATCACCAGTAAGCACTTCAAGGATTCAAATTGGTTAAGACCCTTATTATGTTGTAAATAGATAGAAAAGGGGATATCAAGAAAGGAGTATATAAGATGCACCACCATTTTTACCGGCCAATTCATAAATAGACACCAAATTGAATAAGACCTATGTTACATGGACACGGGTATGAGTATCTGATATGGGTACAAATTTGAGTGTCCGATACAGCATTTTCGAAATATTAAGACACGGGGACTCACTTGAAGGTTGCGAACTCGTACAGCAAGATTGAGAAGAACTGGCTCCACAGCTTCATGGGGTGATGAGTCAAGTACCTTTAATAATTTAGAGTAGAAAAAATCAAAAAAGGAGGAATAAAAGACAGGTTACATGCAAACTCAAGTAAAATATATTGAATAGATTTAATGGAATCACCATGATCAAACATGACACAGCAGTAAGTTGCACCAATTCATCAGAATCTTCTAGCAAAGCTAGTATCACGCCAAGCACTTGGGTCGCATATTTGCTAATATGAATAGAAGGCATCTGCAATCAGACAATATGACCCTTGGATGTGAGATGAAAGCCTGATAGATTAAAGTACAAATATCTACTACAAATACAATTATCAAAAGCTGGGAACAAGTGCATCGATGCTTCAAGCATTTTATTAAATTAATAAAGAATGCTGCCTGATATACAGCCAGACATACAACAATAGAATCTTGAAAGAGAATGAGTAACCTTATTTGCCAGTAACACACACAAATCAAGAATAAGTCAACATTAGGTATAATTTCGAGTATGTTTGATGTCAGTGGCAGACCTAGTATGGGTTCAGCTAAACCCCTACTGGATCCGAAAAAATCGGATAAGTATGTGTTTAAGGAAAAAGAAACAAGGGTTAAATATTAAACAATGCACATATTATCACTATATGCTCAGCGGTCTAGTGGTGGAGGCCTGATTATTTTAGACAAAGGTTCAAGGGTTCAAAACTCAGCAGAAGCAGTAGTAGCACGCACTCTTTTTCTATCTTTCTTTATTATTTTATTTTTTATTAACTCTATTCCCCAAATCGCCAATCATACAAGTCATTCAAAAAAAAATTAAACCCTAATTATTTCTCTCTCATCCAAGAAGGTTTTTTTTTTTTTTGAAGTGGTAAAATTGTTAATTAAAGTTGTAAAATTATTGGTTGAAGATTTGAGGTTGTTAAAATTGTTGAGTGAAATTGTAATATACCAATATTGTTAATTGAAATTGTGAAATTGTTAAATTTTAAACTACTTAATGGGCTTTAGGTAAATGATGTGAAATATTAGATGTTAATCTATGTATATATTTTGGCTTTTTTTACAGTTTGAAGATGAAAGGTTTAGAGTACATTTAGAAAAATCGTGTGTCAAAATCATAAATATCATCCGCAAGTTCTCCCCAAATTCGATTCTAATTGATGAACTGCCTCAAAATGAACCTCCAACACCTCAAATTGACACATATTGTGCACACCCAAATTACCAGTTTAAAATTTTATTTTGAATTTTGATACTTGATTTCACTGTATGCGTTTGGGGATTCCGAACCCATAAGGACAAATTCCTGGATCTACCACTTTTTGATGTTGCTTTAATTCTCATTCATTTTAATTTGGGTTTAAGATTTTGCAAGTTGGATAGGATACAAGTTGAATCAGATTCGAGAGATTAACAGTCAGGTTAATGTTGGATAGGTTTGTGGCATTGTGATTTTTCAAAATAGATCAGTATTTTTTGGCTTAATTGTCACGAGACTCATAATAGTCATAGATATTTTTGTTTTCATCCTCGGACAGATGATAATAATGCAATATCAAAACTGAAGCTATACATAGTAGGTAAAAACCTTAAAATGAATTTTAGATCCATTTTGGTTGTGTACGGTGAGGATCAAGTTTCATCTCAAGGTTTTTTTCCCCAGATAGTTGTTCATCATAAGGTTTGATTATCATATTTGCGTGAAAATTGGCCAATGTCAGTTTTGCCAAGTCCTCTAAGGCAGACGTCTGATAGTAATTCTTCTCCTACACAACACATGTATATATCAATAAGCAAAGAGAATCAAAATTTATTATGATACCTGAACGAGTCCTCTAAGACAAAGCCGTCTTATAGTTGCAGAGTCATCAGATACATGGCGACATAAGGTTTCAACCATCTGCTCTAACAAGCAATCATATCCATCACTACAACATTAGAGGAAAAGTATTTGCATTAGTGGGGAATGAAAAACTCATACAAGGTTGGCCATGGGGACAGGGAGGGGGTGAAGGAAAAAAAAGTTACTGTGGTGCAATGCTTTTATGGAAATTATGTGCTCAATGGTTTGAATGTAATTTGTGGATCTTAGAAGCTACATCATCTTTTACTTTGCTCTGGGGAAACTAATTTGGCGTCAGTATGAATTTCTTGGTTAAGAAGGTTCGATATTCCCTCTATTTTCATATAAATGTCACTCAAAACTTCTACATGGTTAACAAAATCTTTAACAAAAAAAAAAACACAATTTTTCACAGCAGCTTGGTGATCCTTAAAGGTCTCCCACCTTCTGATCTCTTTCTTCTATTTCCCCCTCCTAGTTAAGGCACTCAACTGTTAATTCAAAAGAAAAACTCTCTCCCAAATTCCCTCTAAATTCATCAAATTTATGTATTGGCAGTAAATAAGCACTTAAAATAGCAAAGGGAGTATGATTTATTGCCACAGTGACAATCATAAAAACACAAATATTTGAGATTAAAATGCCTTTTATAAAGAAAAGCAAGTAATTTTCAGATTAGGTCGCATGCATTGAAGTTTGGCCATGACCAAATTTCCTGATTTAGGGTATAGATTTGCCAGGTCAGTCAGTTCAGAGGGTCTAGCAATATCAATAATTAAAACAACTACTTGATCTGTCACCAACTCACAATTCAGGAAAAAAAAAAAAAAAGAAGAAGAAGAAACAGTATACCATGTAGATCGAGTATATACTACTACGTAGTCCACAAAATTAGTCAGCCATTGTATTTTAAAGATTCCACCAACATAAACTTGTTCAAATGCAATCAATAGAATTTATAACGTATAGTTCAATGGTCTTTCAATTTCTCCACAGACAGTTCAGAGTCATGTGACTGATGTCAGAAGCATATTATTAAATAGAACAACAAAAAATGCATCTAAAGTGGCCTCTATGACCTGGTCCTCAAACTCAGAAGAGATGATGTATAGTGTCAAGTCAGATCTGAGTATCTTATACAAGCTTACAAGACCATATACAGCCACACTTCCTCTCAAAAAGGGGTAGTAACCTATAGTATTTGGCTTCATACATACATCCAAAATCAAACATCTACTTGTTGTATGACAATATGCATGCAAATGCTGAAATCCCTTCTTTTGTGAATGATTTCCTTTCAAACCATAACCCCATGCATATATAGGTTCAAGCACCAGTAACTTATTCTAGTAATGTAGTTATTGAATATTTCTAGCAGAGCAACCGAAGTTCTATGTTTTGACTTTCTCAAGATTGATGTCTTCCAATAACAATTAAAAAATTGGTGATGGACATGGGTTTGAAATTTTGCCTACAGCCATATACACCCATGTAGAATCCATCAATCTTATATACTCCAGTGGAATCCACGAAACCTATACACTCTGGGATATTGGCTCAGAGACAATCACAACTCACTAGCTCGCTTATCTCTAAACCACGACAGTAGGTACAGGAGCTTTAAAAATATAGAAATAGAGAACATGAAAAACATTGGCACGACATTAATCTGAATGACAGAAAAACACTTATGCCTTTCTAATAAAACTATTTATCATAAATGATAAGCAAAGGATGTTAATCCAGTCATACCTAAAGCGAACAAATTCAGACAATGAGGCAGCTGCAGCCTCCCTTTGAAAATTTTGGTGTTCATTTAAGGATATGCTTAGGATTGAACAAATGGCTGGAACCTGTGGCAGTCAAGCAGAAAATAGAAGTTTACAGTTATGAAATCATCCCAAAAGGGTAACTAGTTAGTGGCATGTCAGCACCGAAAGGATCATAAAATAGCCCTTTGCACTCGCAAGTTTTTGAAATTCCTCAGCAACTCTCCTAAACTTAAGTAGAATTTTCCCAAAATGTGTTTGCAAGTCCTGTTAATTAAAATAAAAGTATTTTATAAAAACAAATTTAAAATTTAATGATCCTCTGGAAAAAGGAAAAAAAAAAAAAAAAAAAAAAAAAAAAAAAAAAAAAAAAAAAAAAAACAATTACTCACCTAATTACACTTATCAGTTATCACCCTTTGCAATTTCATTCCATGTACAAATCAATACTTACACCGTGACTCACCCTTTTCATTTACGGAGTACCAAAGTGTGGTACATTAGTGATTTCGACATTATTAAAATTATGAATTCTTTATTCTTCTTTCATCACAATGAAATGATAATATTGATTATACAATTACCCATAACATCATAATTCTCTTAAAAGAAAACAAGTTTCATTATTTTCCCCTCTCCCCACGCAATATATATATATATATATATATATATATATATATATATATATATATATGTATATATATATATATATATATATATATATATATATGTATATATATAAATATATATATATATATATATATATGTATATATATATATATATATATATATGTATATGTGTATATATATATATATATATATATATATATATATATATATATATATGTATATGTATATATATATATATATATATATGTATGTATGTATGTATATATACATATATATATGTATGTATGTATATATACATATATATATATGTATATATACATATATATATATATATATATGTATATAAAGAAGCAGGCTCTCAATACACAGGCATATATCAAGAGCCACATTGCCATAACCCACCCAATAGCAGATGGAGGAGTGTAAACAAAAGTCTCTCAGTTTCTCACCAGAAATGCTTATAAATTCTCATATAACAGCTGCTACATAGACTCGACTGACATTTTGAAGAAAAGATGGAGAACAAAAAATGTAATTGCTTCCCAGTTTATCATATTACCTCCTTTGGTCTCTTTATAGATACACAACTTGCTATGTCTCCAATAAGACTCACCCACTTCTCATTTTGACTATGCTCTCCATCTCTTGCTAAGATCTGATACATAGTAATAATATTATTCTTCTGCCAAAAGCTAATATTGTAAAATTCTTACAGGAAGATCAAGATGGTCAACCAAAAAGAATTTAAACATTGACAAACCTTTCCCATTTCAAGATCTCCCACGCATTCACAGAATGCTTGAAATGCAATCAACAGAGCTCTGCAAAATCACAAAGAGGAACTGAAATTGACGGTGAAGAGACAGATGCAAGTTCACAACTTTCCTACCTAGCCAACATCAGCACTAGAAAATGTCATGCAGGACTTTACCGTAGAGGTTCAGGTTGACCTAAAATAGCAAGACCATGACAGCTCCCAAGCTGCAGAGTAAGTGCTGCAAGGACAGAAGCATAACTCTGTTGAACAGCCTTCTTTCCAACTTTCCCACCACCCCTGCAAGGATATTCCATTGCTGTTATTGTCATCATATATTACTGTTTGTGGCTTTATTGGTTTGTTATGCCATACTTTACCTGAAGAAGGCTGTTAGAGCAAATATAGATGCTTGTAATATCTCATTCTCACAATAATGACTAACACCATGACTTGAGCCATCTCCTTTTTCAGGTAAAAGTCTATTGATAGGAGTGTGATTTAGGACTGCTATGACATGTTCCAAGAACAAATATGAAAGCACACTATGCTGAGAAAAAGCCTGCAATAGAGTATTTGTAAAGTTAAAGAGACGGAAAAGCATGGACTGACAGAATCAAATATTCACGTGACAAATGAATTTGCTAAAACAACTCATTCGCTTGATTGTGAGTTTAAGGCAACAGGGGAATTTAAGAGTTACTCAGTGAAGGCAGAATTGGGCTAATATACGATCTATTTTTGTTATGAATCAACATGTTTTCTGTTATTGTGCTCCCTACTACTCTTCTTATTCAAAATATACATTAAAAAACAATTAAAAAAAAAATATTGTTAAGTAATATATTAGCATGAACTTTGCAGAAAAATAATATCCTTCCTTGCAGCTTCAAACTTCAACATAACCTGAAAGAGTAAAAAAACGCATACAGCATAAGTTCAGGTGACTGGTAGCCACAACCTACCTACTCTTCTATGCGTAAGCCCTCTCCTTTTACCTAACTATGGAGGCAGATGTGCAAGAAATGTCAGGTATCTCTTAGAAATAATAAGATGTGTCTTTTAATAGAGGTAGATCCATATTTACTTAAATTTTAATGAAAGTTCAAAATATAGATTAAATCTAGGAATCTGGTCCCCTCGACACTGGAATCTCCAAAGTAGATCTATCACCGCCATCTACCTATTTTATCAAACACGCTCCACAATCCCATATATGTGATACCTCCACATTGTCCAATCCACACTTACACAACTAACATGCCTGTAGGATTCACAAACTGACAGCAAACATGCCTATGTCCCTTGCCTTTAGCCATTCTACACTTTTTATATATCTCTGTCTCGCCTTAAACATTAGGGTCCAACCCTTTTACATAGCAAAAGGAACAAAGTTTGTTAAAGAGAGAACTTAAAAAAAATTGGAAACAAACAAACAGGGTAGAAGAGTTTTGAAGAACCAATAAGCGTCCCCTTTGTAGAGAGTTTTTATGTACAATAAAAACTTAATGAACATAATGAAATTATAGGTTCCATAGATCATTACCTAACGACAAGAAGTGTTTGCCTCATAATTTTTATGAGCAAATGTCAAAGAGGTGTATTTTAGTGGTAGCAAATGTCAAATTTTCCTAAATAATATGGATTTACAAATATATAATAAGCACAAATACAGAAATTATAGATATCTATGCATAAATGTTAGAGACGTAATTCATCTCCCCATTCATTGTTTAGCAAAATCCAGTATAAGCACGTGTATATAATTCAACTTCTAACAAAAAAAAAAACTACACACACAATATGTAACATCCCATAAAGTGTCACTCCAATTAAAAACAACACACTCGATTTCCTCTTCTTTTCAAGATAAGATGAGTTCTTATTTAGTCGAAGGATAGAACTCTTAGAAGCAAGATCTGAAATTCTTAATCAAGATGATGAGCAGAACAACTACATAATCACATAATAATTGAGCAGAACAAGTACATCATCACATAATCAATGAGCACCCATTAGTACTCACACAAAATGCATCTTGCATTGGCCAGCCACCACGTAATCTAGATATGTCTTTTGTGACAATATCTCTTCCAGCTGTAGCCAAGACTTCATTAAAAACAACTTTTGAACTTGTGTTTTCTGCAAGAGAAGATATCTTTCCATAATTAAGGAAAAAAATCCCAAAAATACCGAATAACTTTCACATAATTTACACAGCTATGTGATTAAGCAATTTTTTTGTAACAAGTAAAAAAGGATACAGCGCCAAGAGTTTCCTGCCGCAAATATTTTTCAGTCACATGACCTAACGCAGAGAGAAGGGATTGTGTTGTCCTGTAGGACACACATTGAACGAATAAGAGAATTCAATCTCCATTCAAAGGAAACAATGAATAGATTTTAATAATTTCAAATAAAGATGAAACCTTGAAACATCAGATTCATTGAGCTCACTCTTCCTCTTCATTACAAATTCAATCACGGCCTGGATAGAACCTTCAGCTGATTGCTTGATTTTGTCACATATAGCAGTTGTGCAACCATGCAATGCAGCAACAAGCTGAGAGTGTATTCAGATTTCAGAACCACATGTTGAGATTAATTGCAAGTTCCATTTAACAGAGGCAACTTATTTAAAATTAGCCTATACCAGTGCAAGCTGTGCAACCCATCTTAATACAAATACAACAATCAGATAATATACTACAGTAATTAGCAAATTGCTCCAGATCAGTTATCTAGAAATCATTCAGAGGCAGTATAAGGATCAACACGCAACACTCAACAATTAATTGTACCACATGAAAGGGTACACGCTACCTTCTTGAATAGCCTAGAGTAGAACAATTTTCTCTTTACGAGGATAGAATATATCTCCTTGGTCCCAGAAATACAACGGTTAATGATTTCAAAGAGAATCTAAGATGAACAGTTGAAAGCATAAGTGGTTAACTAAAAAAATAGGAAGTTGCTTGATCCTTGACTCTTTATCCATTATATCTATTAAAAATAATTGTCAGGGTAGTCGGCCATATGAGTGTTTCTTAATTATGCAAGAATGATACATTCTCCATCTCAAAGCCCAATTGTACCAAAAATCTTGTGCATACGTAAAACATCCATTTCTTATTTGGGTGGGGTTTATCATCCACTAATTTCATTTTTTATTCAATCTTGATCAACAAAACTTCTCTAACCCCAATATATTAATCTTAATTCTCTTTAAATAAATAAACTATTCCTACAACCATTCCCTTTTATTCAACATTGCTCAACAGTACCCCACTACAACTTCTCTCCTAAAACCGTGCCCAAGAGATCTGTTGAGTTACTATTGTATTATTTCTTTGACTAAAGCTCTATATAATTTGCATACATTTTTTCATTAGCTTCTTGCTCATGGAAGATTAATATTCTAAAACAAAGGAGGAGAAAAGAAACTCCTAAATTAAGTCAAGTACTTACCTCATCCTTTGTCAACAATATGCAAATAGACGAAACGACCCTGTTGAAAACTTCAGAGGGATCAATAGAAGCATCCTGTAGAATGAATTGAAGTAAGATATAAAGGATCATGATTCATAGAAGTGTCAATATAACGATAAATAGAAGCAAATTGAAAAGAAAAAAAACTCACACTTTTCAACATTGCTATAACATCCTCCAAAGATGACAAGGCACCATAAAATATTTCCATATTTCCATTTAAGTTGGAATTTGTAGGCCTTGGAAGTAAAAGGGATATGCTGAAGAAGAGATCAATAATCTGTTCAGGATACGAAAGCCCAACAATCAAGTTAATAAGATTTTCACCGTCAAAACAAATATAGATGTGACACAAAGAATGATTCACCAAAATGCTAACAACCTGCGATGAAAACTTTCTGACTTCAGGATTAGTATCAGCACATCGTGGAAGGTACAACATGACCCTATCTCCAAGACATAAGGCCTCACGACTAGGAAGTACAAAAGCAGCTGATAATAAATCCAAAGCATAGGCATTATTGTCAATATTTACAATTAAACCAATTACTCTATAAAGTGCAGTAACATAGAGGATTTTATGGCAAATAATTAATCACTTGATAGAGTTGCTACTGTCATACTTCATCTTCTCATAGCCACAATTTATTATTAATTTTATTTGTTAGATCTGCAATTAAATATCCAACTATACCACTAATTTTATTGTTACACATCTTAGTTAAAAGATTACTAGATTAGTAACTTAATTAATTATATACTTGGTTTTAGAGTTCTGACTAGGAATTTAAATAGGAATTTGGACCAAAACATAGCAGAAAATGTTAAAGGGTGGCAATAAAAAGAATAAATAGGAATTGAGGAGTTGAGGGTGGATAATTACATATTTATAGTCTAGGGGTGGCTATGCAAAATTGCAAATAATGCTTTCTTATAATGGTAAGATCTCAAAGACGGGGAGCGAAAAAACCTAACAAAATTTAGTAAATGGAATTCCTTTAATGTGTCAGGTTCAAGATTTGCACAGTTGAGAAAATTACTTGGAAAGTTTGGAAAGTTCCCAAGTGTGTTACGATCAATATGCTTGCTGTGTGTACATGTCCCATGACAACCTAATGGACAGAACCCACTAGTACACAGCATACGAAACTTAACAAGCATCTCATGTACAGCTTGGCAGCCTCTCGTCCTTTGATGATCAGCAGCAGAGGAAACATACGGATCAATTTGTCTCAGAATATGCAAAAGCTGCTCAGCCCTACTTCTTCCATCTTCCCCACTGATCAACGGTAAATTATGGCAGCAAAAGAAGATAACAGTAAATATAAGTCTTCAAATGAAGATACAACACATAAGAAAAATAAGAACACAAACCAAATTTTCAATATTATAAATTTATAAAAAAAAAACCAACATTAAAACAGAGTGATCAGTACATTTAAAAGAGATGGCTTTATTAATGAGGGGAAGAAAAATCATTAAACAATACAAATATAAAACATGAATTGTAGTTAAGCTCTACTACCAGCCACTGGAATAGGGATTGGGTTTCCTTCCCAATCATAGCTTGCCAGCTTCTTCCACCTCCCAATTTCTGACCCACATCCCTTATTCTCTTCGATCTTCCGTGCCACAAACAACATCCTGTATTGTTTCAGTGCCTTAAACCCCTTCATAGCTTTCAATTCTCATAGATTACAGTCTACAGCCAGTTACAAACTTGAAACACTTCTCTATTACTTTCTATCGTAATTCCTCTTCTTTTTTTTCCCTTCAAGTTAGCTGAATTAAATTTTTTTTAAAAACCAATCTGACGCGGTTTCATGTAACTTCTTTCCTATTTCATCATGACTTTCGAATTTATTCTTCAGACTTTTCAAAATAATAACATAAAAAATATTAACAGAATAGATAAAAATGAAGCAATATTTTTTTCTGAAAGAAAATAATTTTATATCAATTGTCAAAAAAGTTCCTACATTACCATGTCTATCATGCTACATTACAGAAATAATAGCAGACAATAAAATGAGAATGCAGTAAAGGAAACTTTTCAAAATTCAGTTAAGGAAGAAACAAGAACTAAAACATCCCAAGCACATTTGTAATCTATATTTTTGAAATTTGGGATTGTATTCAAAAGAAATTGACACTCTTGGATTTTAAATTCAGATACTGTTTTGAACAATCCCCTCCATCTTTTTGAGTTTGAATGACATCTGTCACCTCTTAATTGGTTTGACAACAAGCCTGCAAATTGAAGACTAGCAGCCAATATCCATACATAGAAACAGCTTGGTGGGAAATGATTGGGTGGTGTTGGGTGACAGGAAAGTCAAAGAAGAAAGAAAGCAGTGTTCAACCAAATCATATTCAGCACTTTATGGAGAATCAAAAAATGAGAGATTTAAGCAATGGAGACAACAGAACAAGATACAGAGCACTAAAGGTTGATTTACACCAATACAGGCAGGACTTCAGTGGAAATGAGAAAGCAATATAAGACTGCAGTTAGATATATGAGTTAGAGATTGAGATCTTGAAAAAACTGAGACAGGCTACCTTATAAGTCAGCTGTCAGCTTCTTTGCTTCCGAAAATTAAAATGATTACTAAAAAATAACCATTTTACCAATATTTCAGAGCGTAAGTGTGTTCAAGCCCATCTGCATGTTGCATTGAATATTTTAACGAATCATTTTGCAAGGCTTGGACCCGGCAATTTTCATACGATTAATTACATGATGTTGATGCTCAAAATAATTCAGGAATACCAAAAAACCAAGATTAAAGATAACACATTCTGCACACAGGTTATGAGCAATAGTTGACTAAAATGACATATAATTATACCTTGTGAGTAAGATAGCACACAAAAGAGTGATGAGGTTGTCTATGAGGGGATTGACAACATTTGACGGCTCACTTGGTAAAGCAAAATATCCAAGGACGGCCTGAAAAAGTTTAAAATTTTGTTTTATCAGGAGAGTGAGTGAAATTCATGACTCAAAATGCATGGAATCAGTACCTTTAAAACATGGTTTCTAGTTTCCATGGTTAACTTTGGCTCCACTGAAACCAGCGTAGTACAAGCACTTAAAGCAAGAGCCTATATTGAGATTAAACAAAATACAACTTCATAATAAAAAGGACAGCAGAAAACTTATAAGAAAAGGGATTCCAGAAAAACTATTCAGCAAGTGTGAAACTAGAAGTAGATGCTCTGACCTGAGTTCGCAGAATCTCAACACTGGTACCAATAAATTCATCTTCATTGTCATGGCCCATCAAAGTCAATATATAGTCGAGCAACTGATCCCTTCTTTTAAGCGGGAATGGTGCACCACTTTCTCCGGCCTGAATGACAGCTTTACCTGCAGAGAATACAAAATGAAATTGCCCATGCAAACAAATAAAATTATTGAATTCATAGCATAGAGAAACCGCAATACCTACAAGCACCAATGCATCATACATATTTCAGGAGACTTGTCCAATACAGTGTTACTGAGAACAAGGTTTGATCTGATACATGGAACGGCTTGGGGAACGTAATTTGCTGTAGCTTGTTTTTGAGATTCATATAGTTAAAATAATTGGTCTCTTGGTGGAGTCACGGTATCTAGTCTGTGTTTATTTTTTATAAAAATTTTGTCATAATAATAGTCTTACAGTTTTTTTGCTTAGATATCCATTTTTGACAGGTGACTTTTTTTATGGGAGCTTGTATTAGTTGCATAAACTGCTCTATAAGTAGCTTCATTTCCAATATAAATAAACAGCCTCAGATAAGGGGAAAACAACAGCTTACAAAAATGTGACAAAAAGGGCTTTTAGGTGTCAAACGAGGTATAACAATAGAATATGGTAAAGAAGATTATGTAGCTTCTTGGAACTTTAAACTTGTAGGATAATCACCTGAACTTGCAGAAGAAATGAAATGGAAAAGGACTAAAAGGAGTAAAAAAAACTGAAATAGGGAATCGTAATCTGTGTGAAGTACCAATCCAGCAAAAGAGTGAACCAGAAGTTGAGTTGATTGCCCGTCTATTTAAGAGACTGAGTGGATCACATAGCAACAAGTGCAAATATACAGTATCGATAAAATGGCAAAAAATACAACAGTTAAGTCAGTCTCTTATTTTGATAGCCATCATAAAATTATACTGATTCTTTGAAACTGCCTTTCTCCTAGTTAACTTTTAAGTGGTTTCCCTATTTACCCTGATTTAAACATCACAAGGTTATTTCAATAATCCAGCACTGTATTGTAACAAAGCCATGGAAGAGGAATTAAATGATTTATTTGAAAATAATATAGTTATCTAGTTATGTTTTACACAAGGACAATTTATGAACAGCTACCTATTAGTTGTCTAATAATAATTTGAAAACAACTTCCAAATTAGATCTTTATTGATAGAATCTATCAATTTTCATGTATTAATAAAAGAAACATTACTCATAAAACTATCTAGATAGAACCTACCATCACTGGGCCCGTTTCTACCCTTCCCTTATCAAACTCCTGTCCTATTTTTAATTCTTCCATCTTCATATAACCACTGCACACTCCATTAAAGTTTGAAAGCACTCTCAATCGAAATCCATGCAAAAAAATTGTTTGCTTTATATCAACTACCTAATTGAAACTTCAAAGTTATGGTAGCACTACCAATTAACAAAAAAGTAAGTGCTGACAGGCGTTTTTTGGCTTTTTCCAACTACTAGTCAAATAAACACATGTTAATAGGTATTTTAGAAGAAAAATTACCAAGTAATTGTTTTTAAAAGTCGATAACTAATAGGCAGTTATTCAAATTTCATTTATTAATTGATAAAAAGCTTAAAAGGAGACATTCACGTCAAAATGAACAAGAATAAAAGGAACTAATCATATATTCATGTGAGAGCAAAATAATTCTTAAGGCCAAAGGTACTATTCAGAACAAGAGGAAAAACAAAAACAAAACAAAACTGAGAGTGGTTCCTCACTATCTTGCAGATTTAATACAAACAGGTTACTTAATAATCAATTATACTAAACAGTATACACTATTCTCAATATACAAAATAGAGACCATAGCATCACATACCTAACAAATCAATAGCAGTAATGACAGCCTGCTTAGCAACAGGGTGATAGACATGAAGCAGGCGTGACAGCATATTTGTTCCCTGAAAATTCACAGCGAATTGAAAATGGTTTATGAATGAATAAGCGGATCTTGAAGCTAATGAAACAAGCTCTTTTTATTTATTTTTATACATTATGTCTAGAATCATTTATAGACAAGGAGGGCTCAGGTACACCTAATCACAATTATTACTACACTAATACTGTAGTCATACTGACATTCGTTCACATATAAATAAATTTGGATTCAACGAGTATTTATAATTGATTAGCACGGTAAATAGGAATGCTACATAATACCACAGAAAATCTTTAAAACATCATTTAAAATTTAAGATATAAAATTAAGAAACTTCCATCACTCAATAAAAGGGATACAGAGCAGTTCAACACTATACACTTGCATCAATTTAAAAGGAAGCCCAATTACATACTCTGAAATTCACAAGCTTTCTCAAGGATATTCACTAGAATCTCTCAATTTCAATCACAAGTTAACCCATGCAGACTCAAGTTTTTTCAATCAAAAGCAAGAGCTAAAGAGGACACCTCAACTTAAATTTGGAGAAGAAAGATGCTATTGTAAAGCTTATCTATAATATTATTAAAACTCATAGGAACAACATGGTAACGTCAGGTTTCACCCTTGATTGTGATTTGGTGCCACATGTGAGGCTGTGCGCCATGTGTCACCCTATGTGTCAATAGTGTATTCTTTTATCCGTATATTCATTACCATTCTCTTCCCACATTGAATTGTAATAATGTAGTCACTTTGAAAAACTCTTCATTGGCGTGACTTTAATTCTCTATAATAATGTTTAATTTACTTGAAAAACTCTTCATATGTATAACCTCAGCTCCATATTTAAATTTGACATATCTTATGCAAGTATATATTAATGAAAGATAATATAGATTATTATATTTTCATTCACATATTAAATTTGTTCAATATTAACACTTTTTAATTAATTTTGATTAAACTTGTAAATTTATGATGTATCGGGGCATTGCCCGGGCCAATAACTTCAAAGGATAAAAGAATATATGGAGAAAAAAATATAAAGGTGTTGGTATTTGAAAAGGTTTTTGCTACAGCCAACATCTATTTTCTTTGTTGGAATAGGAGAGTAGTGCATCATTTGAAAGGCTATACAATGAGGTCCCGTCCATGCAGGATAATGCATTCACCCAATGGAAAACAGGTTCATAAAAGTCAAAAAGAATGAGGTTACACAACCTGACATTTCATAGCCTTGTTAGGATTTAATCTTCATGTCTTTCAACCATATGTTCAGTGGCTTTCATAGATGAATATTAAACAAGACATACACTTTAAACTGCACACAGAGTCTAGTTTGAAAAACTTACTACAAGAGCATCTATGCGTGCTTCGATAACAGATGACGGAGCATATCTTGCTGCATATCCATACATTAAAGCCAAACCCGCATGTATATCATCTGAATCTTCAATTTTAGCTCTATCAGTGAAGAAAGAAAGAAACCTGAATTATCAAAAGCTATGTTAGTATACCAATTTTCTGCAAGAAATCAGACAAGGAAGCAACAATAAACCCAACATTAAACTACTAGGAAGAGATAGAAACCAAAGGGGGTTTCATAAAAAGCAAAACTTCATCACAACATGTTTCCCTTCCTGTAAGAAAATAATTCTAGCCTCCTAAAACTTCAGGGCGAATACTAGTGCACTGCAAAAAACCTCGGAGTTGAATATTGAAGCTCCAAGATAAAGATTCAGAAACAGATGCTCACAATGACATCCAACATATTTGTTCCGCACTATCCTAGCTCCAACAGGCCAACATATAAAGCATCAAGGCATTTTCAGGCTTCGTGAGGACTTCTAGCGAACCCATAACACATAAAATTTGTGTGTCCTACCACTCCCCTCGGTTCAAACTATATTATACACACATGCCCCTTCAAAATATTTCTGCAGATAGCATATTAAATATTCCTTAAAGCAACATGTTTTCCCATTCATAAAGAAAGTGGAGTACTTATAGGGGTTGTCCAACTACAAGGGTGACGTAGTAGAGATGCTACAGCACCTCACCCACACCTGTCTCTTGCAGCATCTCTTCTCAATATCTATAAGTCTGTAACTGACTGAAAGAATCCATCAATCTAGTGTGGCTCCCTCATATAAAGATCAATTGTCCATAAACATGTGGAATGGCAGAATAGCTATAAACGAAAAGACGCAAAACCTTTGAAATACACTCTGCCCAACATTGTCAAGAATTTCCTTCAGCTTTTCCAAGACCATATCCAAGTGAGAAGCTGCAACCTGAAGAACATTCTCGATTGAGAAGCTATAAATATAAAACAGCAGATTTACCGGTAAAATAAGCAAACCATCGAAAAGGAAACTATATGGCATACCAATCCCATGCCCTTTGCTAAGCCAAGCCTATTCGTAGGAACTGCTATATTAGCCTGTCTATACATCAAGTCAATCTTATCACGAACATAACTTTTGTCGTCAACTTTCTGAAGCAGCATACCAAGGCATCTGGAAAAAGAAAAAAAAAAAAAAAAAAATAAAAAGAAAGAGAGAGAGAGAGAGAACTTCCTAAGCATTCATTAGTTTGAAATACATAGGCATTCATTTTAAAAATAAAAAAAAAATAAAAAAAAATAAAAAAAAAAAAACATGTGTATATGTGTGTGTACATTGGATTATTCGAACTTCCTAAGCCACACCTCTCATTTTTTGCTAGTGGTAGACCCTGATTTTTGTGGAGATTAAGTTTGTTATATTAGAAATGTATTTGTTTGAATTAAATTTCAACTACTAACGACATATGGTTATCCACTAAAGTATATATTTCTAGTTTTGAAAAAGTCAAACTGTTAAAAGTTATCATTCATAAAATGAATAAATAATAGAGAAAAAAAAAAAAAAAAAAAAACTACGAAGTGAATTGTTTTACAACAATTTATACATGTCATCAAAATACTGATGTGCAGCGTAGTATCTGTCAAGATGTCACTATCGCGTCCAAGCAACTTATTCAATAGAACCAACCGTGACCACAAACACAGATCAATAACAAAATCTATTACTGTATTAGGATTTTGTGTTTTCTGCTATGGTTGTGTGTGAGAGAGAAAGAGAGGCACTACCCTCTATATATATTCGCAAAACCCTCTAAAAAGTCAATGTACATAATTGCTTCTCAATGAATTTTTTGCAGCTGGGACCGTCATAAGTTTTTATATTGCAGATTTGCAGCATAACCAAAATAATTGAGTATCAAAGGTAATAGGTAGTTAGTTGTACTTATATTCAAATATCAATTTATTGAGTTATCTTATTTCAAAAACATTTACTAAAAAGGTAAACTGGTGTCTGGGAAAACTGCCATAACATCAATGAACTTGAGCTGATGGAGATGATTCATTTTATTATGCATACGTTACCTGTGAAGAAGTGCAGAATGCTCATCTTCAGGTGTATACAGCTCATACTGTTTGGCAAACACATCTCCGAGAGCAAGTACCCAATCAGCATCCTGACCCACATCCAGAGATTCTGCAAGAAACTACCAAGTAAAAGAGGAGGTAAATATCAAAGTGCAGATACCAAAAAAAAAACTATTTCTATCTTGTGGAATGTGGATAGATGTACAGTTTGAGCAGAGAGGGACAGGAAATACTTAGTTGTGAGGGGTCAACAGAAGCAATAAAAGACTACTTGTAAGCCCACAATTGCCACAAATATGATAAGCCACATGACCAGACAAAGTCCTCGCTATGGTCTAAATAGGAATTTTTGAAATGCTCCAAGAATGAATAGAAGCACAAGCAAAGTGACATTTCAAGATCAAAGGAATCAGTATATCAGAAGTAACTCATCATCATCGTCATACTGATGCTAACAGCTGTTAAAAACAAGCACTAATTCAAGATCAAAAGAAAAAAATATCAGAGGAGACCCCATCATGATGCACGCATGAGTTCTTAATAGCAAGATCTAACAGAATTTTAGTTGGATACATACAACACAGCTCGGTCAAAGTAAATTAATGTCTTGATTCCATGAGTAATGAATTGTGGTTTCATCAGCATCAATTTTTTCTCAATCATGCAGATACAATGAAAATAAAAATAGCATATATGAGGCTGCTAATGTTCACTCACATTAACAATCATGTCATCCCAGGTTTCCTGGCAAGAAGGATCCAGCTTCAGGTCTTCTGTATCACTGACATATGCCTTCATTTTTGGAATCTACAGCTTACAAAAAGGACAAACAAAGTCAAAGATTGGAAATACAAGTAACTTGCAGCAAAAGCTGATACTCCCTCCGTTTTTAAATACTTACTCCACTTTCCATTTCCCGCCGTTTTTAAATACTTGCTCCATTTCCTTATTTGAAAAGCTTTTATAATATTTAATTCATATTTCTCAACTAGTGGACCCAACATAAATTCCATTTTATTAATTTCATATTCTCTCTCCTCCACTTCTCTCAACTACTTTTGCTTTTTACAATTTTTTATTCTTCCACCTTACCCCACTACCTCCATATTTTATTACTTTCTCCAATTTCTCCTAAAACTCCGCGCATGGAGAAATGGAGCAAGTATTTAAAAACGGAGGGAGTAATTACAGAACGATAACATAAGCATAAAAGCAAATAGATTCAACATGAATTTGACTCAAGAGTAGACGCTAATTGACTTATCTAGGGTCTAAAACTACTGATGTTTTCATAAAGCAAGTGTGAAACACATGTTTAAGAATGTATTATTTTGCATTAAAATCATTTAAATGCATGTTAAGGCATGTGTCAATCTTTAGACAGTGTATGCCCTACTATGCTTTCACTTTATGTTGATCAACCAATATACCTCGCGTTGTTTCAATTATATTTAACATTATATTTTTCAAGAGATTATTAATCAAAATTTGCCTTTGAAGGCTTTGATAAGCAAAAGTGAAATATATACGGAAACTAATAAGTACTACCTCTGAACCTGATAGTGTTTAACACTTTCCCTATTAGTCCATTCCTTAAAGCTTTTTTCACTCTCACTTTATTCCATTTTTGGCAAACCCCATTTCCTACCTTACGCCCTTACCACACTATTTACACTTTTCTATTCAATCTAATTTAGTTTTCCCACTTTTTCTTACATCCACCCAATTTTTACCCTCTCTCTATCTCTCTCTCTCTCTCTCTCTCTCTCTCTCTCTCTCTCTCTCTCTCTCTCTTAGTATATCTACTTTTTATCTTACACCCACTCTCCATATCAACACTCTATTTCCAACCGCCTAAATCCTCAAAAGAATAGTAAATGACAAAAATAAATAGGAGCGGAGATAGTACATGATAACATAAAATCTACTTCTTGTGTCCTTTCTCTATCCCAAGAATAATTTGAACACTTTCCATTCTCATCCACCCAAGAATTAATTGAACACTTCCTTTGTTTTTGGAAAGGTTCTACCAATTATCTATTATATCTTACCTTTCTTTTGGGTCCACTTATTCCATATCACACCAACTTTTTCATTAAAATAACCATACAAATACCCCAACCAACAACTGTTAAACCTACTTTTTCATTAAAATAACAATTGATACCACAACTTATCACCTAAAACTCTATGTAATGAGAGGTGTTCGAATTAATGTGGGACAGACACATTTAAAAATTAGGTAAATATATATAAACAATAGACAAGAGGGAATGCTCCATAGCATCCTATAACCACTTCCTCTTTATCAATTAATCATACCTCATCTTGCCAAAACATACTGATGTTCTTCGGATAGAGAGGACCCAAGAAATTTAGCACCTGACCATAGGATATGTGAAAAGGAAAATGTTAGTTATAGATTCATATCTTCTTTTAGAAGGTGGTTTGGTAAGCATCAAGATAGAAGTGTAAATTGGACCTCAAAACAAAAAATTTTAAAAAAAATAATAATAATAGAAAAATAACCAAATAGAAAAAAGTGCAACCCTATGCTTCCTACAGATCTTATATAGCCATATTCCAACTGAAACCTGACAAGGAAACTATAGACCACAAGAAAAACTTTGTGTGTATTTGTGTGTCTGCATGAAAAATGTAACCATAATCCCTATACAACTGTATGCATATATGTATGTGTGCACACTACATACTTTCATAAATGCATAGTTCCATACATTCATAAATGCATAGTTTCATATTCAAATCAAACCTAATTCAAAAATGAAACCCAGCATTAGAAATCTTACAGAGAGAATATGAGTAGCTTGCTGCTCCCTTGCCAGGGGATCATGCAAAAGTACAATCAAGCGGCCAAAGAGCTCCTGATATTACAAACCGAACATGACCATAGATAAGTACAGGTGCATAAGTTAGGAAAACATTTACATCAATACAAAAGCTACCTCAGAACTTGGAATGTCAGTGCGAGCTTTACACTCGCTCAGCATCATGCTGCCACTTCCAGATCTATGCCTGCATAATTCTGAAATGCATCTACAAACCTGACAAGCAATAAAATTTTATTTAATCATTGAATTATATATGTAGCAAAATACCATGCAGACAACCAGAATTGAAAAACATAAGGAGGCAGATTTTAAAAAATGGGTGACAGATAGTCCCTATTTCTGACTTAGATAATTCTAGAAGCTTTTTAAATTATTAGAATCTTGACCAATTAATTCAAAAATAGTACATCAACTTTCTGTGTCCAGATCCAATGGTGCCAGCCTAGAGTGAGATGTCCTGCTAGCTTGGTAAAGGAAGTTGAAGGGCATGTGGATTGTTGACTTGTACACAATGATATTTTGACTAGTTGATGGATAATTAGAAAGTTAGAAGGCAAGAAATCAGCGGATTCTTGAATGAAAATCCATACTAATTTAAGCTTTTTAAAATACACTGTCTGAGGATCTTGTATAGTTGAAGTTACGCCATTTGTCATGTGCATCAGTTGTCATTGATTTTGTAGATAAGATGAAGCAAGACTCAATAAACAGAGCCATTGAAGACTAGTACAAGTCAACAATCCATTTGTTCTTTATCTTCCTTTATTAGGCTGTAGATTCTTTTGATATGGAAGACTTGTAGGTATCCTGCGGCAGTGTATGAAAAAAACGCGGCCGAGAAAGCTCTCAAGATTAGCTGGTAAGGTTGCCCAACTGCCCAGGCTATAGGCAATTGGGGTAGAGCGCTTCTTTTAATCTAGACGAGGCGCGTTCAAAGAAGCAAATCTGAGGCGCACCTAAAGCGCACATTAGTCAACTATACTTAATCTTATAATAGTGTGACAGGCATGTTAATTTTATTCAAGACCTCTCTTTTACATAGAATTGATACCCCTTGGTGTCCTTATTACTCCCTCCGTTTTTTTTTTAATGAATCACTTGCATTTACACGGAGGTTTAGGAGAGTTTATTCGCTCAAGTATTAGATTGTGCAAGTGGGGCAAGTGTGATTAATTTATTTTAGTATAAGTACAATGAGGACCATGAAAGAGATAGCAGGTGAGAAAGAGTAGTTTTTTTCAATTATTTACGTAGGGACCATGAAAGAAAGAAAAACGATAAAATATTTTGAGAGTGGTTTGGGGGAAAAGAAAAAATAGTAAAAATATGGTATAAAGTTACCAAATATAGAAGCGATGCATAAAAAAAAAAAAAAAAAAAGATGGATTCATAATAAGATATCAAAACTAATATAGACAAAATATAAGATTATTAAATTAATTATACTGAACTAGAAGAAAATAACTCAGTAACCAGTTTCAATTTTTTAAATTCTTTGTTCAAGAATTAATATATGGAAGAAGATTATAATAGTTTAACCCTGGTCAGTTGTGACAATCAAAATGATAAAACAGAACATTGATTGTTAATTATGTGAGAATGAAATCATAGTCAACAGAAACACATAGTATTAAGTTTGGATAAGTATAGTATGTTTGAGACTTTGACCGCAATATGTTTCGGAGTAAATTGAGGAATATAGATCAGCTTACAACACCTAATAGTTAATAAACAATAAAAGAGAAATAGTGGGAAAGAACAAAACTGCAGAAAGCAAAGATCAGAGATGGAAAAGGTTATAAAGGAGCTATGAAAAAGAAAAAAAAAAATACCGTAGAAACTGCACCAGTATATGCCCGAGGAATGATCAACTTTAACAGAAAAGGCCACAATATGTGCTACAGAGGCATTTTATAAAGTAGCAGTAGTTAATAAAATTAATAATCAAGCAAGCACAAAAGCTAAAAAAAAAAAATTAAAAAAATTAAAAAAATTAAAAAAAAAAAAAAAGATAAAAAAAAGAGAGAGAGAGAAAAAGAGAATTCAATAATTAAAGTACCTCCATCTCAGGGATTGTGATTGTCAACAGAAGTAAGCCTTTTTCACAGACTGATCTCAACTCTGTCATGCTGATCATCCCATTCTTTGCCTGACAGACACCCATATAATTTTAGAATAAAAGTAAACTTTTTCAAAGGCAATAGTACAAGCTAAGATTAAAGTACATCAAAGGAAGAAGTCTCAGTTTAGCTTGTGTCAAGCAAAGAAGTCTTTCACCTAGCAGCTAGTCCTATGCCATTGGATTCTCTCTCCTCGGCAGATGAGCAAATCAATGTTTGTCTGAACTGATTTTAAACTCAAATAGAAAAGATTTGTTTAAGCCTTAGTGGGTGGATAGACAACAATATTAAATTATTGTATTTTTTAATTATTTTTTTTTAAGGGATTAATTTTCATTATTTTTCTTTAAGATATTAAATCTTGCTGGTTACCAATGAAAAGCATTGACTTGGGAGGGAAATAAAGGAAACATAACACTGCAATTTCGAAAATAATAGCTTAGTTTCTTTGGACAAAAAAAAAAAAAAAAAAAAAAAAAAAAAAAAAAAAAAAAATCCTTTTGTTTTTGTAATTTTTTTTCCCAACACTTTATATGATACCCGTATCCAAGAAAACTAGTCAGGACATTCTTTTGACCTTATCCTTGTATCTGCTAAATTTTTGGAGTAGAATCTCGGTTCCTCCGATCCCTACTCAGATACAACACCCATAGTCTGATAAACATAAAAAAGACAGTTTGATTAACTAAATTATTGAAGCTAGTTCATTTGGCAAAATGGTGGTATACAGGGGAAAGAAGATAGCATATTTAAGGCAGGTTGTTCACCTGCAGCTTAAAATTAAAGTATTTTCTCTAGCAACGACCATGTGTTGCATCCAGGTAAGCACTTGTTTACCCTGAATCCTAGGAGTCTAGGTATAATTTAGCATAACAACCTGAGAGGATGACAGATGACTAGCAATTGTTCAAGCCCTCTTTTTAGTCATAAGTTAGTCCACCTAATTTTTCAAACAATGGGGATACCACGTACCAAGATCAACATCTTAAACGGAATATACCAACACCTCAGGTGCAGAGATATCGTCTACAACCAAATAGCAGTTTGGCAGATAGAGATTGAAACAAATGAATGAATTTGAAATGAAAGAATTTTTACTGGCTGATAAATATAGAAACAAATGAATAAACAAATGTGTGAGATGACAAGTAAGATCCCATTCTTTTATTACAAGACGTCAAGATGGTTGATTTACTGAAAGATAGACATTGAAAAAAATGAATTTTTGTGGCAAAATTTGCTGGTACCGTTGAAAAGAAGAGCGACACAAGACAAACTTTGAAAGTTTCTTGCCCTATCATTATTGGCATTTTCTTAACATAGCAACTTCCCAAACAGATTCCTAGTCTATTTACTTTTAAAGTGATTTCATATACTTTTTGACGAATTTCATCAACTTTTACTAGGTTTTTCTTTACTTGTAAAACCAAATTAACGAAAATTTATTAAAAATAATTTTTTTAAACAAAGGGATTTAAAAGATTGTTGTTAATGTTTTTGCTAGATGAATGTCAATGTGTTTTCCTCGTTTTATATAATCTAATCACTTAAATGCTATTTGCTTTACTTTTAACACACAAAAGTGGTTCTCAATTCTCATTTAGACTTAAATCTCATTAGAATCCGATCTTACAAATTTATATAAATACAACAGGAGTACTTGAACATGACTTCTCTCCGAGAAAATATAATCAAAGACCTTAAAATAAGCCAGATTCAAACCTCAAATCTTCTGTAAGTTAAAGTATGATAAGAGCTGCTTGAGGATATCTGATGTTTCTCTTGGTCTGGAAGAGCACAATGACGTACTAGGTACTCCACAAATGACTCCCCTGAAGGACCAATCAAATAACAGTGTGAAGCCATTACCACAATTAGCTGCCATGAAAGACAATAGTTAGTAAACAGAAATCTCCTATTGTTGTGAGAGGATAGGTGCCATGTCATTAACAAACCTCTGAAAGTGCCTTCCTTACTCCTAGATTTTGTTCATCGAGCAGCAATTTTACTACATCAACAAGCATAGGCCTGCTATTATGCCAAGCCTCGGACAATCTGTATAGCACATATGTAGGGAAGTCAATTGGAGAAACAGATGTTTTCACAACTGTAGATTATAGCCAGAAAAGTGACCTGGGCAATAGGTGTTTCAAGACACAAAGTGCCCCAAAAGTCAAAGCTTCTTCCTTTAACCTGCATTTCTGATAACAATATATCATTAGCAGAAGCTACTGGAATAATGAACTTCGTTGTTTAACTCACACCATCATTTATTAGTAATAACAATAGACAATGTCTTCCCTTCAATAGTCTTGTAATAAATTGATTCTTTCTAATAAAGTGGAAGTCACTACTCACATTTAAAAGAAATACGAAAAGATCTTCAGGGTACACCATGCCAACCGTGAGAAAGCAACGTTGAACTTCATTGTATGTCTGAGGCACCAAAAGAAACTTCTTAACAATCTATATAGACCTAATTATAATGATAAGATGACAGCTCAATGTAAATTATGATAGCTCAATAAAACGTATTCCGCCAATTTTGCCTCGATGCATTCATAATTGATCCACTTGCTATAGTCCAAGATCAACAAAAAAAATTAAAGATGAAGCATGCAGCATGTATCAAAAGTCACAATTATCTAATTCAGTTGTTAGTGCTTTATGCACTATCACAAGTTAACAACTAAATCATTGGTTGCAAAGAAAATTTTATGACCCATTATATTTCACTTAATCAGAATACATTAATGAAGGTTATTCTATATACCTAAGGAAAACCCTACGCCCTAGAAAAAGACAGCCCTCCCAAAGACCACAAACAAAAAATTTAAAAATAAAATATAAGATGATACACAAGATTAAACAAATGTACCCTCACAAAGTCGTCCATCTAGAATTTCAGAGCAATATCATAGTTTATACAGGAGCATGGAGAGAAAGGGAAGAACCTTCAACCCAATAGAAAATTTTGGCTGATCTTTGATGTCATTGTTCATGAGCACTACTGGAAGAAGTGTAGACAGGACAACAATAAGTTCCTGCAGACATGAAATTAATTGTCAGACAGATAATATATAATTGAATCAGGTAATATGAAGGTACCCAGCTACTTTAGGTGCATACCAAAAAAAATATAATCGCAACAAAAATTATTCAATATTCCTGTAATCCAGCTCATTTCCATTCGAAGCTGGATTTCAACGAGTTTATCATGGGCCAATTGATTAGATTGGTAAAAATAAATGACCCCTAGCGACAACTTGGGAAAAAAATAAAACAAAATAACTCCGGTGACAATTTGGTAAAAAAAACTTAAACCCATGCGAAATTTTGTAAACAAAAAGTTTTTAAAAATAAAATAAAATAAAATAAAAAAATAAACTCAGGCAACATTTGGACAAAATATTTTTTCCGACAAATTCCTCAAAATGCCCAATTTAATTCGTTTTGTGTTTATAAACTTATTTTTCCCATTTTAATTTTTTTAATTAATTTTCCATCCTCTTTTTATTTTGCAAAATCCCAAAGTTCCCAATTTTTTTTTCCAATCCTTTTTCTATTTCCCTGATAAGGGGTTGGAATATTAAGTGGAAAATTAAATGGAAATAATATCTAAACCTCTTTATTTTTTCTCCAACTATTTCCTTGAAAAAGGTTGCAAAATTATGGAAAAAAAATAAAAGGGAAAAGTAATTTAAAATAAAACCACAAAAATGCCTTTTTTATTTGCCCAAGGCGCAGCAAACTCTAAAACGCCTTGGTGCGCCTTGAGCCTTTTTATACATTGGTCATACCATTTGTAACACCCAAGTGTACATGAGCCCGCTTATTTTCCTAGAGAGGACAATATCTACAAGTGGGCTCATGTAAACCTAGGGTGTTACACCCAGTTCCATTTTGTTTGTCCCATTTGCCTTTTTGCGTTGTTTTCGTAAACTACTTGTTATTAGAATTTATAAAAATAGACAAAACAAGATCCCACAAAAATAGAATACTTTTTTTAAAACATATAAACAGTAAACTACTAATCTTTCTTGTGGAATAATGTTTTTGTCCAAAGCATAAAACATTAACTTGCCCACCCATCATCCTTCCTGCTCCCATGAGGCCATGACTCCTATCCTCACCTTTGGATTCCCCACCTATTGACCAACACCTTCCCCTCTCTCTTTCTTTCTTGCTTACGTTGGGTAATAACTCCACAACGACGAACCAACATCTATGGGAAATCGACAACAGCAGTGACCCAAAACAACACTATTTATGTAGCTGCCCTATCATATAACATCAGTGACTCATTCATCACCCCACTGCCCACCACCACACATCTCCAGCCATCAATCTAACTTGACCACAAAGTGTTTCACCCTTCATTCATGGCATTTATTTTCTTTCCAAAATAAAAGAAATGTATGACTTCCATCAAACTATGTTGGATAAGGTACAATCAAATTCTTAATTAATGAAATTCAAGTCATGGAGATCTTGAATTTATCAACATTATCTTGATTTAATTGGTATTGTTCAAAATTTCAAACTCTTAACAGTCAATGCTAATGACTGATGAAATTTATTTTAGGAAAAATCCAATTGAGCTTAATTTAAGCATCAAGCCGAACCGAAAGCGTTCATAAGCATCTTGAGCTTAAGCTAAGCCTGGATATATGAAGTATTCTAGATAGCTTTGGAATTATCTTTAAATAAGGAGCTAAATAGCTAGTCACTCACTCACAAGATAATATAACGATATGATTATTATATCAAAGCAATCACAAATATACACCTAAGAACTACTTTATGAAGGTTATTTCAACCTCATAACATTCCTCATTCCCAATCAAGACATATTTTGTATCCTTCCGTCAACCAAATTGTGTTATTAAAGTGTTAAACGATTCCCAAAGTGGAGATAATATAACTAGAAGCTAGCTTTCCAAACTATAATCAACAAAGCATGGAAACACCTGTCAGGCTTCATTTTAGTTTTCTGCAAACATGAATAAGCACAAGGAAGATATTCCCAGTAAACTTCCACATGCTATAAAAGTACATCAGTAGTTAAACAATTTAGTGGCTGGCAAAACATGTGAAACATGCGCTACCCTTCTTGCACACCTTTCAACCCATGAAACACCCGAAATAAACTGATTAAAAAAAAAAAATAGAAAACTCAGATTCATTGATGACGTTATAGTTTCAAATTTTGCTTATATGACATGATAATTCAAGACGTACTTAGTTGGCAAAACCTTTTTTTACCCAATTTTTTTGAGCATTTCCTCTTTGTATACTGTGGAGATTTTCCATTACTGTTTCGGTGGTGTGCATCATGTAGACATTTATCGATAAAAATATAAAATAGGAAACGAAGTAGTTTACTAAACACAGAATGTGCAGGCCTCACCTCGAATTCAAGTAACGGAGGGCCAGTCTCCGACAATAAAGACGCATAGAGGAGATGATGGAGACTACATGTAGCAACATAAGCAACATCCTGATCTTTCTTGTACCTGGTAACACATAAACCACAAGAATAAAGCCAAATCATAATTAATAATGGTTCTTAACCCCTTGTGAAATAGCCTAAGCTTTCCAGTATACCTACTTGCCTACACATAAAAGGTATTACAGGTTTGTCAAACAAATTGCAAATTATCATGATATAACCAATTCAGAAATTATAAACAAAAATTAAAAAAAAATTAAAAAATATCTAAACCTTCACCGTAGCACTATATGAAGCCAGCAAATATGAAGATCAACTGCATGGCCAGCAGAATCACTTACACCAGTTGGATTATTCAACATACATACAGTAAACATAGCACTTACAGGTCCAATATTGTTGGGATAAGTCGAGGTAAGGCTGTTTTAAGTTGTGGTCTAGTGATCAAACCAACCATCTGACCTAGAGCTTCCACAGTTGACATTCGTACCTAAAGAAAGAGTCATAAGTTTAGAAAAAAAAAAATTATTAAAAGTTTAAAAAATATTTTTAAAAAAAAGGAGCTGATGTTTTACTCATTCTGCATCAAAGAAAATCAATCATATGTTGGCATGATGACAATTTTGTCTGTTTCTTGGTGTGTGTGTGTCTGTGTGTGTGTGTTGAAAGACTTCAGACATCAAGAAGTTGAAACTATGTGTACTAGAAGAAAGTGGACAGTTTCTTCAGTTAAGAGAAAGTACTCTCCCTGCCCCCACCCCCATCTCCCTCTTGCTTGGAGGTTTCAAAAGATTGCAACAACAGTCAAAAGCCAACAGAAAGGCTGATGGAAGAGCTAATTCAGAATTTAATTGTGGGATGGAGTTTTTGCAACCCCGACAACAAATTTTAAAGAGATTCTTACTTTGATTTTAAACTTGGAAACCAATAACTTGAAAGGGATTTTTTACTCCGTCAACACATAATTCATGCAAAGGGTTATCATTTCTAACTAATCTCAAACATAAGAAAAAAAAAAATCGTGAAGCTCAGTCAAATCAACTTAAAACCAAAATTCATTAACTTATCATTTAAACATAGAAATCAAACTGATTACTCCCTCTATGCCGCTGAAGCTGTCCACTTAAAATTTCAGAATTTACAATGTTGCTAGTCACAAATTCAAAGGCGGACAACTTAAGTGGGATGAAGGAAATATTAGTTAAGAGAAAAAGAATGATTAAAAGTTAAAGAATTAGCCCAGGAACCTTCAAGTCCCTCGAAGATGCCCAAACTCTTAAGAGAAGTTCAAAGGCTGAGTTCAAGAATGACCTGCACTACACAAGAACAGCTCATCAATCAGATGATCAACCAATATCATATAAAGTACAACTGGTAAATGAACAATTTGATCTTACATGACATCTGCGTCAAGCACTTCAAAAGAGGGAAACTCAATGCTGTATTGTGATATAGCCTGACACCAACACTTGAAGGCTGGATACACAGTATAAAATTAAATCAGTGTCTCAGAGCCAAATGTTTGAGTGTCCTAACGCAGCAAACAAATACAGGAAATAGAACGTAAAGGAAATAACCACAATGTTCCTTTCTTTTCAGCTTTTATGTTAGGCTAGGTTTTCAGGCAAAGAGAAAAATCATAGATGATCCATAAGAATGTTTAAAGATCAAGAGTCTAATAAAGTAGCTGATAGATCAAATCACTGCTCCTGTCCTAGTCAGAACGAGAGATTCATAATTTTTTATTATTATTATTTACCACAATTCTATTTCAATGATCAATTCTTGAGCCCCAGTGCATGATGAGCAAAGTTAAATTTCTACTATCACCGTTTCGTATTATGTGGAACATTTACTTAAAACGGATGCTACACACTATGTGTAACAAATGTTTTCTTTCCCTTTTAAGCTGTCATTTCTCTCTATCTCTCACTTCATCACATGCATCTATATCTTTCTCTCTCCATTTAACACTCAAACAAACAAATTTCGCCTAGGAGTCCATGTCAAGGACTTTGTTGCACATAATATAAAACGGAGTTAGTATTTATATATTTACAAAAAATTGATATCTTGATTGCTACATTTTTTTTTTTCCAAAAAAAAGCTTGGCTGTTCTATTATAAAAAGGGTCATGTATAAGCATTTAACAATACTCCTAAATGTCAATAAGTGGAAAATTATGACAAGATCACTCGCAGTTCGAGTAATTAAACCCCTATCCCTAATTGTTTGTTGCATTTCCTGTTTTTGGAGTCAAAATTCATTAACTTTGATCTTGAATTCCCATTGATATATAGGAAAAAACATAGTCATGTAGGATCTTGTTAGAATTATTTAAACAAGTACTTTCAATATATCAACTTTTATATAATTTTTTCTAATACACAATTAAGGATATTAATGGTGGACCATTTGCTTAATCAAAAGAACATAGGTCTTCACAAATTGAACAAATTTCTTTATCAAATATTCTATTATTCAACCTTAGAATTTAATAGGTATTCAATTTTGTTTCTCTATATCTCCTCTAAAAGACCTATGTTCTTTGCTCAAACATAGTCATTCCCTCTCCTAATATAGAATTCAATTCATTAAAACTTTAAGCTCAAATATTAAGTTTGTCCAAGTTGGCTTTAAAGCCACCCTACCCATTCTTCTCATGTGTAACCTGGAAAACCCAAATACTTTCAACACAAGCATTTTCTCAGCCTGAGTCTACCCCACATACACTATTTTCACCAAGAAAAACAATTCCTGACAATGTTTAAACGCTGCAACCTTTCTAGCTTACATGATGTAGCGATATCAGAAATTCATAAAATGTTGACACATATATGAAACAATGGATGGTGGAACTGTAAAGCCCTAGCATCACAGATCCAACACAAATTCTAATTAGGGTTCTCCATGATTTAGCGGCCTCATTAAGAAAGTAAAACAATAACAATAACAATAATAATAATAATAAGATGGACCGTTCATCATCAAAACAGAGCTTGGACAATACCATTGGCAAATACTGATCGATGAATGTCTCTTACACTACCAAGAATGGGAAGAACTCGTGAAAGTACAGCTTTCAAGCGTGGTGTGAACAGCAAAGCTTGAATTTCATTAAAAAGAAATGCATTAGCTTTGAGTTGGCTAACATATCCACAGAACCATTATATAATTTGCTAATCAAAATTACCAAAAAGAAAATAAGAATGACCAACCATCAGCAGCTGCAAAATCAGCAAGTATCTGAATCATAGCTGGTAAAGCTGAGCTAGCTCCGGATAGATGAGCATATATTTCCTCCATCATCTACCGATCAAAATTCAACAAAATACAAGTAAGAAACATCCAAGAAAAGGTAAGGTCTATATACTAACAACAACGAAGGAGCATCACTTGCTCGCTTCGCCTACAATTCTCACACCGTCAACTTTCTATGCACATAAGCTATATAAATAAAAATAAGCAAATACTGAAACAAGGAATAAAATATTCGCTAAGAAATAAAACTAATATTCCACAAAATAAGAAAAGTTATAAAAGAGGGAGACTTGTGAATAAAATTTAACTAATAAATTCAAAAGTAAGGAAACCCTTTCAAAATATTAGCTATACAATAACACGATGATAACTTCCTAGTAAGGGATTTATAAGCATCGTTTAATTAATTAATTGGATGAAACTAGCTATTAGAAAATTGCAATCTTTAAAACTTGATTTCTAAGAGAATACAAAAAACCTTTTGTATCAAAACAGAAAAAAGAATTCTTATGGAAATATTTACTAAAACAAGAAGAGGTAAGCAAGTAGCTCCAATTCTAGGAAGTAGAACCTTCTAGTATGTTGTACTACCAGTTTGTCAAACAAATAGTTTTGCAGTCTTCTGCTTTTTTAATAAAAAGTGTTAAACATACACACATCCGCGCTGACACGCGCGCGCGCACATACACACACACAAACAATTGAAGCATACTGATTAATTTGCAATGACTGCTGCTCAAGTTGAATGCCATTCAATTCAAACGTGTGGCCACATTAATTCAATTATTTGCATTAATTATTAGATTTAACAATTAACATCATGAATTAAGTAATTGTTATCCTCCATTTGATGTTTTGAGTCAACTTTACAGATTTAGTGTCAATTATTAATTTTTAATTGTAATACGGTTAGTTATTAATAATTCAGTATCAATTATGTAAGTAATGCGCCACAAATGACATGTTTACCTGGGAGTGTCAACTATTGAAACTTGGTCCCACATATGAAGTGGATGCCTTGTATAAGAATTCCGGTACACCAATTAAGATTTTTGGTATCAAATGTGAATTTTGTGTCCAGCATGAAACAATTTGCACCAATAAGGGGTCATTGGTTGGATCATTTTGAATGAATTGGAATGGAGTTAAAAATTGGAATGAATTGGATCAACAAGAAAATTTCAAAAAAGGACTTTAAGCATCTCCCGACCACTCTCGTATCCAAATGATTACAGAAAGAAAGACTGTAACTTCCTTCCTCACAAAATCACAAGAATAATGGTAGTATACAATGTCAAATCAAACCAGACTTGGTGATACCTCATATCTCATAACATTGATAACCTTCCAAACTTCCTTGTAATGACTTCTCCAGCTGGTAGAATAGGCTTACAAGATAGACCTTTAGAAGAGACTTAGAAAGACCCTCATAGTATTTTGAAATTAATACAGATATAAAATTAATGTAATAGCCTGATAGGAAGGCAATATGAGAATTAGTGGTGGGAAAAAATGGCAAAAAGAAAGAAAAAAATCACAAAAAAACAATGTTTAGTCACCCTAACCCAATCCATATCAAATCAAAAACTTCTTCAGTTCTTAATTAAAATAGTTTAGAACAAACAAGATAAGACTTTTCAAGCATCATGCTTCACGTCAACCCTATGCATAAGGTCAAAAAACCTGCTCAGAATGCCTATGCAGTAGAATAACCCTCTGCTCAAAACTCTACTGGCACAACGGGTATAAACAACAAAACACAGTTATGCTGTTATAAAACAAAAGAGTATAGTTGAAAGGAGACGTTCTAACTGATACATAAAGAGAATGGTACAGCAGCCTGCTTCAATTCAAATAATTTCTCTAGCATAAAGAGAGATGATAATATCAAAAGACTTGAATTCCCCTCACATAACTAATGTATAAAGAGAAGAGGACTGTTAAAAAGGTGTAAAATGGCTTGTGCAAATGTTTGAGACTGTTACTCATTCTCAACCTTCCTTATCCAACCCCCTTTATTGAAATTTGAAAGTTTACATAATAGGCCAAAAACTTCAATATTTACCAAATAAACATGATAACAATCCGTCATGTGACAGAGTCATCCAAAGCAAGAGACTTACCAGATCAGGAAAATGTGAACCTATTGAAACAAGCAACCCTGAAGCAGCTTTCTGCCAGTCTGTATTGAGTTCCTGAAACAAATTAATTTCCCAGTGAATCTGTCACTTAGAAGTCGCACACATATGACATGCACATTGAAACAGAAACTCAACCTTCATATTTTCTGAATAAAGAGGTAAATAGTACAGATAAAAATAAATAAATGAATAAATAAAAAGCTGATAGAATGTTCTTTCAAATTATCACGAATTGCACGAGTCTCCACAGCCTACTTTTTTTGAACCAAAAGTTTCAAAACAAACTGACATCTAACAAAAAATTTCAATGATAAAAAATACTAGCACCCACATCACTTCATAAAGTTTAAAATTCTACGTGGTCACCCACAAAGGATGAAATTAGCCAAGGTACAGGACTTGAGAATATCACTCGAAGAATCTTCCAAGCCTGACAGTACAAAATTTCATACCCTGAAAGTTTAAAATTCTACTTCAATGACGGGTAAATTTAAACAGCAAACACGCCATAACTTCATAGTATGTTTGGAAAGAAACGGGAAGGAAATGGTTTTGAAAGCCTGAATTTCCCCTCCATATATTTTGATCTGTCAAAGGATTTAGCTTACTACAAGCCTAGGAAACCGGATCCCCTCCGGTGAAAAAACTATAAATCAAAAGAATTTGACAGGTACACACATGAAACTAACAGCATCAGATAGACTAACCTCCCAACTCAGTGAAAAACCCCTCACCGGCCTTACCTAACACATAAGTTTGCATTATCTTCAGTGACACTAAGAGACTTTAGCTATTCTTGTCCAATTTCGAATTTACACATCTTGTAGACCATATTAATAAAGCCTTTAAAATTATAGTTTAGAACTTCTTCACACAAGCTAATCCAAACTTAATAAAGTCATAGTGATCAAGCAGCTAATGAAGTAGATTTTTTCTCTCTTCGCCTTAATGCAAGAAATCCTCTACCATAAGATCAAAGCTAAACAAACACCTCCAAATTAACGAAAATAAAAATCATCCAGTACTAGGCAATCTCATAACCGAAAAAACACTCTCGGTGGCAATTCGTAGAATTTCAACAAATCTACAGCATATCCAATGATCAAAATGAAATAATCAGCTATCAAATGCTCACACAAATTACTGTTGTAGTACATTTAGCTACAAATAGATAATAATACGAAATCAATTACACTAATTTATTGCATAATAACTAAAGAATTACAAAATAATTGAATACCACTCAATGATCAGCTAACCTTAGACGAGATCATTTCCGAAGTCGCAATCTTCAAAAGCTTCGACATATAAGTATGATCAGCATCTTCTTTATTAAGAGCTTTAACACCAAATGCCATCACTTGGAATAAGCCAGCCATATTACCAAATCTCTGCACAATAATTTTTTTTTCAACAAAACAATCAATTATACATTCAAATTCAACCGAAATTGGCCGGAATCACGGCAATTGTTCAACAATTTGCTCAAAACTCTACCCGACGACCGCCACGCGATACGGCGGCGCAACAATCGAGCACCAGAAGAGGATTCCTGCAAGCAACGAGAGAAATTATTGAGCAAAATTGCAGCATTGAACTAGAGAGTTGAATAAAATTGAGGGGAGAGAGAAAGTAGTACAGTGTGGCAATGTCTTTGAGAGAAGCCATGGAAGCTTCTCGAACAATGGAAGATTCATCAGCAAGCGAAGCTACTAGAACCTGTACAGCGTCTGAAGAAAAACATGCAGAAATTCAAACAAAATTGGAGAAATTGATCAGTAAATTGAGGATTGAAATTGGAAGAACAAAGTGATTGAAATTGTGAAAACATAGAGGAAGTTTACCAGGAGCAGGAATTGAGGTGACGGAGGTTAAAGAAGCCATTGAAATGGAGGGGAGAGAAAGAGGTGGAAGACGAACAAGGCTTTTCGAGTTGGCGTGTGTTTGTGTGAATGTTTATAGTTACTGGGATTTTGGAGCATATGCTATTTGAGAAATTCCTTAAATTTTAGTCATTGTATGTATCTTACCTGGCATGATCCTCAAAGGACAACATTGCCAACCAAAAATTGAAGTTACATAAAGAGTAGCTTTGCTAATTGAGCTCAAACTCGATTCGGTCAATCCTCGATTAAAACTTAACTCGAGTTGATTCGTGCTCATTCAAATCACATTGTCGATAAGTATACAAGAAATTCAAAAAAAAATTCAGTTCTTCTACCCTTAAAATCAAATTCCTTAAAAACAACACTTACCGTTCTAAATCAATCAATAACTATATACTATGTACTAAAAGTGAAATCTGGTTAAAAAATTTCCCACCCATTTTACTTTTCAATTTTACGCAGATTATTAAAGGAAATTATTTTATAATAATCCAAAATATCTTTCTTCCAATTAAAATTCTTAACAATAATAATTCTCCAAATACACAACTAATATATTTTTACATATACGTAGCATTTTATATTAGGTACTTTTTTTGTAAAAAAAATGAACGTATATTAGGCAAATATTATTAAATAATACTTCTCTAAGCTATATTATCTTAGTTTTCGATAATTTTTTAACTTTTTTTTTCTTCCAATTTTGTTACTTTTGCAATAATGTTTATTTCAATTAAAAATAAAATCATTTTGTTAACACACATATATACACTTAATTTCTACTCTTAAAAGTCAAATAACGCAGCATGCGCGGGTACTATCTGTTTCGGGGTTTTTTGATGTCCTGCGGGAGAGTTACAATTCCGAGACTGGAACCAGACGTCTGTACCTGCAAAACAACGGAGACTCCGGGTGGTAGGAGCTCCGCCTCCGATGGTCAAATTAGAACTTGTTAAAGGAGTAATTAATGCGGAAAAAAGGGTAAAGTGTTTTTTCTAGGTAAGAGTAATTAATTGACGTAATCCCCTTTAATGAGGATTAATGATCATATTTATATGCCTTGGGATGCGTGCCAGTCCTAAGTTTAGGTTAACCTAGGGCTGACTGGGCTTCTTCCAAGGATTAGGCCTAGGTGGCCATTTTGCCCGGTTGGCATAGGGGAGGCCACGTGGCGTGACACAAGTGGTCCATGGTGGACCGATCAACGCCTGACACGTGGCAGGCTCCTAATGGCCCATGTGGCGGGCACATGGCAGGGCCTGAATCGTCCATTTGTCAGACGATGATTGGTTAGGGAAAAATCCCCTAATCATTTGCCCCTCACAGGTGGCAAGTGACTGTTCACATGTCACCTGTGACAGGTGTCGGCCTGTAACAGGCGACGGCCTGCTACAGGTGTCGCCCTATGACGGGCCGAGCATTTTTCCCGCTCATTTTTTGAATTCAAAGGCGACTCTTTGCATTCTCTTTTGCCCTATATAAAGAGATGTTGACCAAGTCTTTTGTTCACATTTGCGAACTTTTCAAGAGAACTCTCGGACCCCTAAACTTGAGCTCTGACACTTTGCAACTTCTGACTTGCCAGGACGACTGTTTTACCAGGCGCCTACTTCGATCAAGCTTTTTCAGAACTTAAGTTTCAGGTAACCGTCTGTTCTTTTATTCTTTCTGCTTTTGTACTTTTTCTTTCTTTTTGAAAATGAGACCTCAAAAGCATCCGGCACGGCCTAGGTTAGCAATCAGCCGGTCACCGGGGACGGCTGAGTCTAGGACTAGGAGTGCCGACTGCCCTGCAGTACTTCAAACTTTGCGCAAGTCCCGGAATCCAACTGTCTTTGTATCTATGTAGGACAGTATGGCAAGAACTAAGAAGACCAAGAGAATAGAAAACTCTGACGACTCCTCTTTCCGGGTTCCGATTAGTGAAACATCGGACCAGCCGCCTGATACCGCGGGGACCCAAGGCGGTCCCCTAGCCGAGAGCTCTGAGGAGGGAGTTAAGGTAGTTCCTTCTCACTTTACTGTTGACCTAGCTAGTCAGCAGATAGCCCCCGAAGAGGAAGAGAGGTCGGCCCCCTCAGGAAATGGGGAGGAGTCGGACTCTTCTGATAGCGAGTCTGGCTCTAGCTCGTCGAGCCGCCTGTCCATAGGCTCAAAGGAGAGGCATAATTGCTTGCATGAGGCGAGAGATTCTCATGCGGCTGAAAAGGGAGAAGGCTGGTCGGAACCATCCGCCTCTCATAGGGAGTTGAACACTCCTTATTACTGCCATGTACCCAAGGGCCGAATCAAGGCCATGAAAGAGCGCATAGACACCTTTCTTTTGGACCATACGATGGGTCCGGATTTTCAAGTTTTTGTGCCGGATGGCGAGGATACCGTGGTCTGGCCCGCAGGGTCCAGCTATGAGGACGCCTGTTTTGGCTGCTACGAGGCGGCCATCAAAGCTGGATTGCGATTTCCCTTGCATCCGGCCGTTCAGCAAATCCTCGATGGATACGAGGTGGGGCTTTGGCAGTTAGCCCCTAATTCTTGGTTCAACATCCTTGGCTACAAAACCGGATGTGAAATGCACGGGGTGGAGCCGAATTTTGAGGCGTTCACCCACATGAACTATCTCAGCCGGACCCCTAAGGAAAGCGGTACCGGCTGGTACCAGATAACAAGCCACAAAGGCTATTTGATGGCAAGGGGTAAGGAAAATAAATGGAAGGATTGGATAAACACCTTCCTCATCATTTCCAGCCCTGACCGTCTGCTAAACAAACGCTACAACAGGTGGAACAAGGATCCGCCTCTTCTAGCAGGCGGTCGGAGCATGCCGCTTGTCCCCCTCAAGGCCAGGGAAGAGATTAGGGAAAACTCTACTACTGGGGTACGAGAGCAGGTGCCCCTAAACTGCATCCTAGAGTTTCAATCGCTCTATGAAGAGTTTTTCCTGGCCGCTTGTGGCTTAAGCAGTCAATCCTCCAGAGGTAACCGGCCACTTGAAAATATGTACCCTTCACTTTGACTTGTTCGAAAATTTTTCTAACTTTTGAGGTTTTCTTTTGTAGCTGAAGCTATGGACCAAATTTCTGCTTCCAAGAAGGCGGCTGCTATGCTGCGAGCCTCCATGATGTAACAGCAGCAGACCGCCTCTAATTCTCCTGCCAAGGAGACGCCCACAGTGAGTTTCAATCTTTAGAACTTGTCTTTGAAAGGCTGCTTTAATAAATATTGACCACTCGTCTCCTTTGCAGGCGGGCACTTCCAAACCCTCATCCTCCCATCAACCGGACTCGAAGGTTTGGAAGCTGACTGGTGGGGGTACGCCTGGTTCTACCAAGAAACAGTCGGCTGACAAGCAGCCAGCCACCCCACAAAGTGTGGGGAACCCACCACCTTTTCTTACACGGCCGCTGAGAAGTATATCCTGCTCTGCTAGACTTGCTTTTTTCTTTATCACTCTCTTCATGTTTCTGATTTTTTGTTTTTTTTTTTATGCAGGCGGCCCTTCAGAACCTGACTTGGTCCACATGGCCAAGTCCATGATTAAGGTCGTCCCTCAAGAGGAGAGGGACGTGGTCAAGGGAGTCGGCACCCTTGACCTAGACGGCATCATGGGTCTCCTGTATGAGGTAGACTTGGAACATTTTTCAACTTTATTACTTTGCATGCCACCTTCATTTCTTAAATCTGACGCCTGTTTTTCCTTTTTTCAGACCATGTTGAGAGTGCACGGCCTTCATAGGCCGATCAACGCCAAAAACAAAGAGGTAAAGGCTGCTAAGGCTATGGCCGCCTCTGACGTTGATAAGGCAATGTTTCAAATTGCCCAAAATGAATTTTTGACAACTGATATTCTTTATTATCAGGTACAGGTCACTGCCAACATTCGTACTGAGTTGGAGGCGGCCAAAAAGAAGAACAACGAAGTGGAGGCGACGATCAAGAGCCTCAAAGATGAGCTGAGGCCGCTTAAGCAGAAGATGACTCAGTTCGAGACCTTGGAGAAATCCTTAGCTTCTGTCAAAGAGCGCCTGGTGCAGCAGGAGAAGAGCCTCACTGATGAGCTCTCGGCCAGGGCCGAAAAAAAGAAAATGGAGCTGGCCAAGGCCATGATGGAGGACTCTGCTCAAATCATGAGGATGACCTGGACGACTCTCTTTCCAAAAGCTCATTATGCCGCCTGGGAGAAGAAGTTCGCTGCTTGTACTAAAAAGTACAACCATCAAATCATGAGGCAGGCGGCCGAGGAGGACCAAGCGGCCGAGTCCAGCTCAGAAGAGGAGGAGGAGGAAGTGGCCCTACAGCCGATTGTGGTAGGTGCATCTACAGAAGCGGCCCCTGATGCCGAAACAAACAAGAAGGAAGCCTCTCAAAACCAGGCACCCCTTGTTGATCAGGCGGCGGGAAATACCGAAACCCTACCACAACCTTAAAGCTTTTTGTGTTCAACTTTTCTTTAGCCTGCGTGCCGTTTGTTTTTGTATCCCTTTACCCGGCCGGGGGGCCGGGGTCTTGAATATTTTGCCGATCTTTATGGCCGACTGTTTATATGAATTCGGCGACCATCTTTTTGGTCGTCTTTGCTTATCCAGGTTTCTAATTTTGCTTTATTTTTTCGAATTTTTGCTAAGTATCGAGGATCTTTGATATCCGCTTGTGTGTCATACCGACTGTTTTGTATGGCCGATAGTTGCGAACAGGTACGATGTGAGGGCTGCATATGCCCCTGGACGACTAGTTGTCTTAGTTCCAGGTTAGGCGATCAGTCGACCATCTATCCAGTCGGACCCCAACGTTAGCAGTCGACCTGTGAACCAACTTTTCAAACATGTCTGTTTTGAAGAGAAATCATCTTAGCAGGTTGGGGTACGAGAGCTCTGGTCCACCTCTAAGCAGGCGGACTCGTCATACCTTTTGAATCCTAGCTAAGTATGGGCGTGATTATGGGTAATCTTGAAGGTTACTCACTCGTCATGTTTAAGCTCGAGTAGTAGAGGTACCAAGCGGCGTAGGCCGGCTAGTCCCCTTGATTCACCAATTTTGTTGGTTATTTACTCAAGATACGATAACCTAGTAAGAATAGGGGTTTGAATACTCCTATTTAAGAAACAGGCGGTCTATTCAAAAACCTTTTAGATTTCGAACCAAGTTTTAGGGAGTGACTAAAAGTTAACATTGATGTTACTTAGTCGCCGTCACTTCTGTTTGAGTAGTAGAGGTACCAGGCGGTGGAGGCCGGCTGGACCCCTTGATTCGCCAATGTTTGTTGGCTATTAACTCAAAAGGTACCGGCTGTACTTATCCCAAGTAATATAGTCGGTTATCCGACGCGGATGTTAACTGCTAACACTCGTTGGATCAGTGATAGAGTTATCCTTGTCTCAAAAACGGCTGCGTGGTTGTCTTTGTTGACAATCGCATAGGTGCCGTGTAATTAGTTTATAGAACAATGTTCCACCCAAAAGGGAGTTGTTCTCTGTGACGAATTTCATCCGAATGGATGCCGCCGGACGCCTGCTATGATGTTGGGACAGGTCGGATTAGTTTTAAAAGTTGGATCAGTTGGTTGGGCGCCTGGTCTGATCATTTCGGCCATAGGCCTTAGGTAGTCTTGATGAACTAAGTACGACAGAGTAGCCGACTGTTTAGGTACATGCGGCATGCCCCTCTCTATTGAATGCATATTTGAAAAATATGGAGAGTAGCCGACTGTTTTACCAGTAGGCATGCCCCTCTTAGTACAAAATAGATGAAGTGAAAACGCAAACTTTTATTATTAGCTCTCGGCTATTTACATCATTCAAAATAATACTTTTTGAGATTATCTACATTCCAGGTTCGAGGAAAGAGTTGGCCGTCTGGTGTTTCCAGGTGGTAAGTACCGTCTCGAACCTCTTCATAAATTCAGTAGGGTCCTTCCCAGTTGGGAGTTAACTTGCCTAACTCATTAGCCCTACCGACTGCTTCCATCTTTCTTAACACAAAGTCACCCACTTTGAGTGGACGCCTATGCACCCTTTTATTGTATGACCTCGTCATTCTCAGGCGGTAAATTTCATGGCGTAGGGCTGCATTGCCCCTTTTCTCTGGGAGTGAGTCCAATGCCAGGCGCATGGACTCCTAGTTTGCCTCTTCGTCATACAACATTACCCGAAGAGTCGGCTCGTAGTGTTCAATTGGAAGAACAACTTCCGCACCATAGGTTAGGAGGAATGGAGTTTCTCCAGTCGACCCTTTTTCAGTCGTCCTAATGGCCCAGAGAACATGTGGTAGTTCATCTGCCCATAGGCCGCCTGCTCGTTCAATCTTCTTATTAAGACCGTTTGAGATGATTTTGTTGAAAGCTTCTACTTGGCCGTTTGCTTGAGGACGACCGACTGATGCAAAGCAGTGCGAGATGCCTTGGTCTCCCAACCAATTTTTGAGAACAGGCGTCTTGAATTGGGGACCATTATCAAAAACCATAGACATGGGTACCCCGAACCGAGTGATGACATTTCTCCAGATGAATGAAATCACATCCTTCGTCTAGATTCCCTTGACAGCCTCTGCCTCTACCCATTTAGTAAAGTAGTCGGCTGCAACAAGTATATACTTCCTGCCGCCTGTAGCAGGCGTTTAGGGACCCAGGATATCCATGCCCACTTAGAAAACGGTAGTGGGCTATGGATGGCAGTGAGATCAATAGCCGGACGGTGAATTAATTTGCTAAACCTTTGACACTTGTCACATTTTTTCACCAATTCCATGGCGTCTGCTTCTAAGGTAGGCCAGAAGTAGCCCTGCCGCCTTGCTCGTTGAGCAAGCGACCTGTCTCTTATATGGGAGGCGCAGTATCCAGAGTGCAGATCTTCTAAGACCCCTCGCCCTTTTTCTGGGGTAACACATTTCAAGAAAGGTTGAAGGTACCCTCTCTTGTGGAGTTCCCCTTTTATCATCTCAAAGCTGGATGCTCGCTTTTTCAGAGAGGCCGCCTGGTGATGATCATCCGGCAAGATGCCGTCTGTCAAGTATGCCCTGATTGGGTCCATCCAGGTTGAACTCCGATCTAGAATTCCAATAGGATCCTCTTCAATACTTCTTTTCTCCATAACCTCCCAGAAGACAGTTCTTGGAGTATCACAGGAGGCCGAAGATGCCAACTTTGAAAGAGCATCCGCCTGATTATTTTCAGATCTTGGTACTTGAGTCAGATGAAATTCTTCAAGGGATTCAACTGCTTGGCGTACCGCCTGCAAATATTTAATCATAGTCAGATGAGTTGCTTCGTATTCACCATTGTACTGACTCACTATCAATTGTGAATCGGAACGGACGTTTATCCTTCTTTCCCCAGCCGCCTTGCACATGCGGATACCGGCCAACAAAGCTTCATGTTCTACTTCATTGTTCGAGGCTTGGAAGTTGAAACGTAGAGCATACTCATACCTATCGCCCTCTGGCGACTGACATATGACGCTTGCTCCACAACCATTTGAGGTGGAGCTACCGTCCACATAAACCTTCCAGACTTGGTCTGGAATTTGAGAATCAGAGGGCCGAGTCATTTCTACAATAAAATCAGCAAAGACTTGCCCCTTTACTACTTTCCTGGGCTCAAAAGTGACTTCCAGGCTCTGAATCTCTATTGCCCATTTGATCATTCGGCCTGACGACTCCATGGTTGTCAGTGGCTGCTTGATTGGTTGATCTGTATACACGACGACTGAATGCGCCAAGAAGTAAGGTTTCAGTTTTCTAACGGCCATGAAGAGAGCAAGACCGAATTTCTCCACTAAGGGATACCTCAACTCGGCATTTTTCAGCACATGGCTGACAAAGTAGACTAGGAGCTGGCAGCCGTCTCTTTCAACAAGGAGAACGACACTTAGAACATGGTCAGATACTGCCAGATACATGTAAAGAACTTCTTTGAGCAAGGGACTGACCAGCCTTGGCAAGGAATGCAAGTGAACTTTCAATTTCTAGAAGGCCGCCTCAGCATCCGGCCCCCATTCAAACCTTGCCTTCTTCTTTATTGCCTGAAAAAAAGTAAAGGCACTTGTCGCCTGACCGGCTGAGAAATTTTCCCAAGGCCGCCAGACAACCTGTTAACTTCTTAACCTCTCGGACGGTGCGAGGCGACTGCATGTCAATGACCGCCTGTACTTTCTCAGGGTTCGCCTCTATGCCTCTCTGATTGATGAGGAATCCGAGAAACTTCCCAGACTCAACCCCAAAAACACATTTCTTGGGATTGAGCATGACATGGTGCCGCCTGAGTGTGGTGAATGTTTCTCGGAGGTCCGCCAGATGGTCTGTCTGAAGCTTGGACTTAACGATCATATCATCTATGTATACCTCGACATTCCTCCCAATTTGGTCAAAGAAGACCGTGTTTATCATTCTTTGGAAGGTGGCCGGGGCATTTTTCAAACCAAACGGCATGACCGTGTAGCAATATAGCCCTTGATCAGTGACGAAGGTCGTCTTCTCCTGATCTTTCTTCCACAAAGGAAACTTATGGAAGCCAGACACTAGTACATAATTGACTTTATGTAACATGTAATTGATAACACTTCTTGAAATGCAAAATATTAGATTAATAAGTAACACTTTGGTAACACTTTACTAGAATGTAACACTTAATGTAACACTTTTAACATAAGTAACACTCCATAGTAACACTTTGATAGAAGGTAGCACTTAGTTGTAAGTCTTGTAACACTTTTTTTTTTTGGAAGAAACACAATCCTTTTTTTTTTTTATTATCAAATATTTTTATTAAAATCAACCCTTACAGTAATAGCCTCACAACTTTCTTCATCCCTTGTATTTCTCCATCCCCATGGGCGGATCTAGCGTGGGTTCATTGAACCCACTGAATTTTTGAAAAAAATTAAAAAGTTTTTTGTTTGTAAAAAAAAAAAAAAGTGAAATAGGTTTAAATAGAATATTTGTGTATCAAATGGCAACAAGTGAAGCTGTAGCCCAGTGATATTTTTTACTTCCCATCACACAAGAGTTGTGGGTTCAAAACCCATAACTCACACTTTTTTTTTCTTTTTGTTCCTGTTTTCGTCAAAACTGAGAATGCTTACTGGCTTCCCTCTTCCAGATTCCCCCAAATTGCAAACCCTAACTTATTCCTCCTTCTCTTCCCGACTTCCCGTGTTCCAGAGTACCGGACTTCCGGCTGTCCGCACTCCGCCGCCGCAGCCTCGCAGTCGCAGCCCCTCAGCCTCGCAGAGCCCCTCAGTCTGGTAGTGCCGTACAGCCGTAGTGAGGTAAGGGATTAAGTGAATTTGGGGATTTTTTTTGCTAATGTAATTTACTCTCAATTTGTGGATTTTTTTTGCTAAATCGTTAATTTCATATGCTAATATAGTAATATACATTACGAATTTACTTCTCAAGTTCTCAATTTGGGGATTTTTTTTGCTAAATCGTTAATTTCATATTTTCATATGCTAATATAGTAATATACATTACGAATTTACTTCTCAAGTTCTCAATTTGGGGATTTGTTTTGCTAAATTGTAGAATTTCATATGCTATTTGACCGTATTTTTGACTAATTTGAGTATTTGAGCCGTAATGCCGTATAATAGTATAATTTCTGTTTAATTTATACTGATTTATTACTTGATTATTTCTGATATTCTTTTTCATTGATAATTTGATATTGTCATATTTATTATTGAATTTATCATTCATTCATTGATTTCATTCTGCAATCTGCATTTATCATGTGTGAGTAGGATTGTAGCAGACTAGCAGTATATGCCATTATACCATGAGTTTAGAGTCATTTTGAAAACGTGCCGGGAAGTCACAAAAGTCTTCAACTTGTTCTTCACCTAGTTAATTACAATTTCAAACTTCCGAAGTTTCGAACCCACACTTCAAAAATCCTGGAGACGCAACTGTCCATCCCAAGCTTTTTCGTTTGATTTCTTCTCCTTCCTCCTCTCATTCGCTCAATTTGTCGTTCTTTCTCCTCTCTCCCTCCCTCCCTCTCTCTTCTCAAAGATGAAAGTGTAGCCGCAGAAGATCACATCCACAACTATAAAAAAAAAATGGCAGAAGATCACGAACTAGATGAGAGAAAAGATGGAATAGTGGTTGTGTTCGATACTCCGATTTTAAGCTCAATTTCGCCTATCAAACCCTAATTTATCTCATGAAACTAAAACACTTTCAGGTTTTTCTTCTTTCCCGTTTCAATTTCATGTTTAATTGCCATAATTTTGATTATAATAGTTGATTTTTTGAAATTAGGGTTTCAAGCTCAACAAACTATTAGTATAGATGACGCAAGTGTGAAAATATAGAGAATGGCAGGAAGCATAAGTTTATCGTCACGACTACTCTCCTTTTTTGTGGGCAGCGATCGTTAAATCCACCCTTTGCAACACCCTCTTTCGCTCTTGTCCAGGTCCCTCTTTCTCTCTCTCTTACACTTTGTCTTTTGCTTTCATTGTATATTGCTCAACTAAATTACTGATTCACCACTTTAATACTTCTATTTCAACTTTAATTTGATTTCTTTTACTGTTTGTGCTTAATTGTTGATTGGATTAGTTTAATATGTAGTATTCTCTATGTATATTGCAAAAATATGATTGTTAAATTAATTTTTGATTGTAAATGGAAAATGAAGCCTATTAGTTTTAATTTAATGGAGTTGTAGGGTGTTAATTACAATCTGACATCGTATTTTGTTAGTTATGTATACAAATATTGATGTTGAATTGGTTATTGGATGTAGATTGCAGAGTATATCTTGAGATATGGCGATTTGTGAGTTTGGGGATATGGTCTTAGGTTTGAGGAGTTTGACCATAGGTTTGAGGAGTTTGAAGAGAAAATCCCACTGCTTTCACAATGATAAATCAACTTGAGTACTTACGAGTTTGCAAAGTCGTGGTTAAAAGTTTGGAAACTAATATATTCTTATTTATACAATGATTTTATTGATTTAGATACTCTACTGCACTTTGTCATAATTGTTAAATTCATCTTTTATCAGATAAATGTTAGGAAAACTAGATTAATGAAGAACAAGTTGAATTGTTTTCAATGTCAGGTACACCAGTCCAAAGACAACATATTATCTCCTATATCTAAAGGTCTTCTTGCTCAAAAAGCCAAAGAGGCGGCGCACTCTTGCCACCCTCCATCATTCAGTCTAAGGTACGTTACATCATTCCTTAATTTTATTCTACTGTGGTAACTCTATTGTACATATTACATGTCAAATTTATATGACCACTTGCCCATTTTTTGAAATTTCGTACTGGAATGTATGATTTAAGCAATTTTCTTGCTGGAAGATTCAAGAACCGCGATCTCCAGATGTAGAGCAGTGTCAATTGAACATGAAACAATAAATTTATCGAGGTATCAAAGGATCGAAACACTCTGCTGTTCGAGTTCGGGGCCTGTTGAAAAATTCCCTGTACAAGCATTGTATTTGTACAGAGTGACATTTAACTATATTAGGTTCTAGACTTGTGGTTGAAACAAGCAAGTTTTAGTAGACTGCTTTGTAAGTTGATTTGAGAGTGGTGAGACTTGTGAAGGAATGGGCTTCCTGCTATTAACGTTTCCATAGTTGAATATCCATATGTTTTTTGTGGTGTCCATATATATGACAGTCCTTAATGATTTCTATTTTTTTTTTTCCTATTGTTGTGCATTATTTAGATCTAAATTTTAGAATGATTAGGAAAGGGTTGTTATAAGTTATAATATTGTCTATTCTTCCAACTTATAAGCTGTAATATTAAGTTGTTTCCTTATAGCTGACTTCTTTAGCAAGTATATGTCCTTAGGTTTTGATGCTTTCTTGATGCTTCTGCTGCTCTTACCTGTTGCTGCTGTTGCTGTTCTGCTTATGTGCTCCTGTTGTTCTGCATATGTGCTCCTGCTGTTCTGCATATGTGCTGCTGCTGTTTTCCAAGCTGCTGCTGTTCTGTTTTCGAGCTGCTGCTTTTCTTTTTCCGAGCTCTTGTTGTTCTGTTTCCAAGCTGCTGCTGTTTTGTATATTGTAATTTTTTTTTTGTATAAAATTGTAATATTACAAGCATTTATTAATAAAAATATATAAGTTTATATATATAATGGTTTATCAATTTTACTTTTATTTAGGCATAAAAGGCACCGATTCAAGGGAAAATCGGTGCCCTTAGTTTATGTTAAGGGCACTAGTTTGAACCGGTGCCCTAAGTCGGCTTTGAACTAGTGCCGATTACACTTTTTCTACTAGTGAATAATAATAATAATAATAATAATAATAATAATAATAATTACTATTACCAATTGATTAATAAGGTGTTACATTAGTTTGCAAAAAGTGATACATAATATTGAATATGGTGATACTATATGTCAAATGATGATTGAAAAATGTTACTTAATAATCAACGAGGTGTTACATTAGTTCGTAAAAGTGATACACAATGTCAGATAAGGTGTTACTAAATGATTGAAAAATGATACTAAAGATAAGTAAGTGTTACCTAAGAAATAAAAAGTAACACTTTAAAAGTGATACCTATAATATAGAAAACTGTTACATAAGAGAGTTTATAGTAACACTTTAAAAAGTGTTACTATACTTTACCCAAAGTGTTACATGAGACCTTAGGTAACATGGGCGGATGTATCACCCACTAAAGTGTTACCTATTGTCTATAATAACACTTTTATCACTTTATGTAACACTTTATGGTTGTTACTTAAGGTTAGTTTTGCACTAGTGAGAGTAGGCGTCCATGAAGCTCATTAAAGCATGGCCGGCTGTTGAGTCGACCAGATTATCGATTTTAGGCAAAGGATAGCTATCTTTGGGGCACGCCTTGTTCAAATCGGTGTAGTCCACACACATTCGCCAAGTGCCATCCGGCTTCTTTACCAGTACAACATTTGCAACCCAGTCTGGGAAGTAACATTGCCGAATGAATCCTGCATCCAACAGCTTTTTAACCTCGGCGGCTGCCGCCTGACTTCTTTCTTCACCATGATTCCGCTTTTTTTGCCTGACCGGCTTCTTTTTCGGATCCACAGCCAATTTATGTACCGCCAGGTCAGGACTGATGCCTGACATTTCATGAACTTCGAATGCAAAGATGTCCTTGAATTCCTTCAAAAGTTGGTGGAAATCATCACCCAAAATATGAAGAGCATTCGTCCCAACCTTGACTGTTCGGTCAGGACGTGAGTCGTCCAGCACGACATCCGTGTGCTCACCAGCCGGCTGAGGGCGGAATTCATCCTACCGCTCCTCTGCCAGTGATTGCTATCTTTTTTCTCTTCTCTCGGCCCCCAATTGGGTAGCCTTTCTTTTTTTGCCGCCTGCTTTTTGAGCAGACGCATCCTCTTTGATAAGTTCAAGGTCCGTTTTTTCACCACTTGGGCCAGCAGCCACCACAGTGGGTTTGATATCCGAGAGATAGCGCTCTCGAGCCACCTTCTGATCTCCCCTTAGGGAGCCGACTGTTCCATCATCCTTTTCAAACTTGAGCAGCATGAGAGAGGGGATAATGACAGCTTTAGAGTTGTTCAGGGTGGGTCGTCCCAGGATCATGTTATAGGCCGAGAGTTCCTCAACCACTAAGAACCGAACCACCATGTGACGGCCCTCCCCTTTCTCACCCAAGCGGATGGGTAGATCCACTCGCCCTACTCGGTGTACGACTCCTCCTCCAAACCCTACTAAAGGGTGGGATACCGGATGTATGCAATCGGTCTTGTACTTGAGCTTTGCCAAGCACTTGCTACTGATGAGATCAGAGGAGCTACCAGTATCTATGAGGATCCGGCCAACTCTTTGGTTGGCCACCTTGCACTCAATAACAATGGGGTGATCATGCGGCCCCTTAACTCCTCCCAGATCTTCTTCTGTGATGATAATTTCTGGGAACGAAATTTTGGCGGTCCGTTCTTGGTGAACAGAATTAACATCTAGCCGCCGAATATTGTCTTTATTGCCCCTGATAGTGGGGCTGCCTCCAGAGAAGCCGCCTGCAATAGTGTAGACAACTGCATCATCTGTATCAGAACTGTCGGCTTGTTGTTGATTCTTTTTGGCCGAGTGCTTGTTCTTTGAGGAAGTGTTCCCCTTAGACTTCTTGACATAGGAGTCAAGGTCGCCTTGTCCAGCCAGGCGGTCCAAGTAGCGCATGAGGCTGATACATTCGTTGGTTTCATGACCAACGTCTTCAAGATAATGACAAAATTTGTCTTGGTTCCGATTGCTTGCAGAACCCTTCATGGGGGCCGGCTTCTCGATTGAGATCTGGGTCTTGATTTCTTTGAGGATAGCTTGGCTATCTTTGTTGAACGCATACTTAGGAGAGTATGGTTTGAACTCTTTCTTCTTTTTCTGGGCCGACTGTTTAGAGGAGTCGGCCGCCCAGACTTCTTTTCTCTTTTTCTCATCTTTATTGGCCGACTGCTTTGGTCGGCTTTCCTTTTTGTCGGACCTCCGTCCATCCGACTGTTTTCCAGTATTACAGAGATCAGTCGCCTGTATTTAGGCTTCAGCTTCAATCAAAGCTTCTTGGAGAGTCGCAACCCTCTTTCGAACCAGATCAAACTTGAAGGTCGACCCATCTTTAAGACCTCTGAAAAAATCAGTGTAGGCTACCTCATCCGGAAGCCCTTGAATTTGAATCCTCATCAGGTTGAACCGCCTGATGTATGAACGGAGCCCTCCTTTTCACCCTGCTGAATTGTCCCTAAATCAAGGGCCGTCTTCTTTGCAGGAATGTTCATAACAAAGTTGGAGGTTAACAAGTAAGCAAGCGTCCTGAAATTATTCACACAACCAGTCGGCAGGTTGGCGAACCATTGTTGTGCGATTCCTTTGAGAGTTGCTGGGAAACACTTGCACCAAGTGGGATCATCCAACCCTTGAAGGTACATTAGGTTGGTGAACGTCATTAAGTGGTCTTCAGGGTTAGTAGTGCCATCATAGGCGCCTACTAGCACATTCTTAACTTTGGCCGGCTGGGCGGCCTCTGTAATTTCCTTGGAGAAGGCGGACGGCTGTTCTCCAAGACTTAGAAACCGTAGTTGCCAGTCCAAAGGTTGGACATTTTTTGCCGCCTGTCCTCTAAACAGAGGTGGCTGCAAGAAGTATTGTTGTTGCGGTACGTATGGCATGTTTGGTACCGCCTGCTCTTTTTGAAATTCAGACCGACGGGAGGTACCGCCTGTCTTACTCTCATAGTTTGATTGAGTATACCTCACAGAGGTATTGTGCAGACTATCTTGGAAGTCTGAAGTGGAGGCCGACTCTGACAGTCGGTCATTCTTCTTTTGCTCTAGCAATAGCCGAGCGTCGGAGTATGTTTTCTTTGACCCATCCGCTTGTATATGACGAATGGGCTTCCTCTTCCCTGGTGAAGGAAAACGATATTTTGTTAAGTCGATCACAGGCGGCTCCCACTTCCTAGAGTTAGGGTGGGGGGTCGCCTGTCGACCCTGAACAGGCTTCCTTCTTCCTGAGTGAGAAGGTTTTCTGGCCGACTGCTCCTTAGAGGGAGCAACATCTTCTTACTGATTAATTCTTGGATCTCCCCCTTGAACCCCCTCATGAAGGTCATGAGTTCGTTCCGTGTAATAGGGGCAGATCCTTCGGCCGCCTGTTGCTGATCAGGCGGTGAGCCGGCTGGATTGCTGGGTCCAGCTTGGTAATCTACCCGTTCTTTCCTTTCGGTATGACGGGTGCGTCGGGCCCTTAGAGTCCCATCTGAGGCTGTGTGTGCTTCAACCTCAACTTCATTCTCAGTGTCTTGGTCTGAGTAGACTTGAGGGTCGTCCACTATACGCCTCTCTTCTGGAGTCGGTATAGACGTTGATGCCATCTCAAAAGTACTCTCCCCACATACGGCGCCAAAATGTTTTGGGGTTTTCTGATGTCCTGCGGGAGAGTTACAATTCCGAGACTGGAACCGGGCGCCTGTACCTGCAAAACAACGGAGACTCTGGGTGGTAGGAGCTCCGCCTCCGACGGTCAAATTAGAACTTGTTAAAGGAGTAATTAATGCGGAAAAAAGGGTAAAGTGTTTTCTCTAGGTGAGAGTAATTAATTGACGTAATCCCCTTTAATGAGCATTAATGATCATATTTATATGCCTTGGGATGCGTGCCACTCTTAGGTTTAGGTTAACCTAGGGCTGACTGGGCTTCTTCCAAGGATTGGGCCTAGGTGGCCATTTTGCGCGGTTGGCATAGGGGAGGCCACGTGGCGTGACACAAGTGGTCCATGGTGGACCGATCAACGCCTGACACGTGGCAGACTCCTAATGGCCCATGTGGCGGACACATGGCAGGGCCTGATTGGTCCATTTGTCAGACGATGATTGGTTAGGGAAAAATCCCCTAATCACTATCCTTAGAATTTTATTTTCCTCATATACTTTTTTTTTAAAATCAAGTCTAAGTTTCACTAATCTTGACATTGGTATAGCTAGGTATAAAATTAAAGTTATATTTAATTTTGAATTAGTGTTATGAGTATAATTTTTTATAAAATTCAATATAATAACTTTTTATAAAATTTAATTGCACGGGACTTAAACTAGTTTAAATTAATACACTTTAATAGGAAAAAATTATATAAAAGAAGAAAATATATACAA